CGCGAGCGCAAACTTTCCCTAGCAACCGCCCCGGGGAGGGGGAGGTCCTGGCAACGGCGCGCTAGCCGGGCGGGTCACGTGACGGCCCGCAGCTGAGCCCGCCGCCGGCTGTCAGCCGCGCGCCCGCCCGCCGGAGCCCGAGCGCTGAGGACGTGCCCACGTGACGGTCCACGCTCCGGAGGCGGCCACGTGACGTGCTTACGTGAGCCCGTCGTCCGCAGCTCCCGGCTTACGCAGGGTGGTGCAAGGCCCGCAGTGTAGACGCCAGGTCCGGGGCCCGCGTGGCGGCTGTGGCTGCGGAACGACAACCGCTTGCAACCTGCGGCCTCAACCCCGGCCACACAGCGCTGCCCTGCACCGACCCCCGCAGCGTATTCATGCCCTGTCCTGACTCGTCGGAACCGCGAGTCACCTGCATTCCCACGCCTCCTGCCCGCTCACCTGTTCTTCCTAGGTCCAGACACGTACAATGAAGAGCTGCTTCGACAGAGGGCGCTGGGCACCTCCGGACTGAGAAAGGAGGCTGGGGTGGAGAGAGGGTGGTGCGCCCTACGTGGGAAGTTAACATGAGGGTAGGCAGTGAGAAGTCGTCCGTAGTCACTCTGCTCAGATCAACGTCACCTCTGATCTTCTATGCAATGTCTTTATAATGTCATTTTAAAAATTGCATTTTCTTGAAATCATAGAACTGTTGGAATGTATGCTATTTCCACTCTCCAGGAAAATTAGTACTTTTTCTCTATGCATACTTAGTTATATAGAGTACAAAAGTTAAAAGTATTTTATATATGGGATCCCCAGCCCACCCCATCCCCCAGCTTCCATGCTGAGAATTGAATGCCTCCTCGCATGCTCAGCAGGTGAGGTGAACTACCTCGCTAGCCTGGGACTTTTCTAAAACACAAATGATTTCACAGCACACATAATGTTCAACAGCATTCTGTTCCCTGTTCTGAGAGTTTTCATGGAAGTGTTTGTGTGCCACCTTGCTTCGCCCATAGGGTGGTTTGTGGCTCAAATAAAATCATGGATGATCCCTGTAACTCCTATGAGGTACAGACTGTCCCATTTCGCAGATGAGAAAATTGAAGCTCAGAAAAAATACATAAAGTAAACCCCGGCTCAAAAAATGTTCCCTTTAAAACTCCTTACTTTGAATCTTCAAGAAATCAAGTGGTGTCTGCCTGATCAATACTGCATAATGTACAAGGGGTTCTCTTAGAACAAACAATGTCTTTTCTAGGACTAGCAGTTGAGCATCTTCAAGCCACCTGCTCTGAAATTTTCACCAGTCCTGTGGTTGTCCGTCTGTACTAGCCTGCCAGCTCCTTGAGGATAGTTAATTACATATTCAGTTGTTTTCAGATGTCTAAGACCTAGTGCAGGGCATTGCATTGAAGCTATCTGGAGCTGGACTGAGGCTCTAACGAGCTCCTCCAAGACAGTAGCAGTGCTACTGGTTAAAGGACCACACGGAGGAGCAAAGCTTTAAGTGACTGTTGTTCTAAGTGCACATGGGCATCCTGCAGCATACATGTTCCCTCACAGGACTTTGTCAGGGCAGAAAAATACATGCCTTTTGTCTGTTCCTGCTGCAGCACTGGATAGTGTGACCAACTCATCTGTGACCTTTCTACAGATGTTTGAATACACTGTGGACAAACTTACTAAAAAACGATGCAAGCCAGAATTGCCTCAACTGGGGAAACGAGGGGAATCTCCCATTCCACGTTTACTTAAAAAAAAAAATTTAAAACAAAACTTAAAGATGGCTTATAAGCAAAAAAATGATCCATTGAGTTCTGGGAAACCCTAGACTCCTCCTCACCTAGAAGAGCCAGATGTCATAATCTAAAAGGGGGCAAAGAGGGAATTTTAAAGCGTGAAGCCCCTGGGGTGATGGTGGGGGCCGTGGTGACCTGGGCAATGAGTGCCTTCTGCCACCCTTTTTTCTCCAGCCTTGCCTCAGTGTCGTTTCTTTTCATGGTGTCTGTTCCTCTGTGCCTGTCTTCTGTTCAGTCAAACAAATGAGCACATAATCTGGGCCAGGCCCTTCCTGTTCCAAGCATCATAGTAACCTGGATACGTAAGACCAGATCCCAGTACTCCTTGGGTTCTTAATCCTAACTCCATGTCCTGAGGACAACCTTGTCTTCTTTCCTTGCTATGAGTGATGTTACGGGTTAAATTGTGTCCCCTAAAGAGATAGGTTAAGGTCTTAACTGCTGGTAGCTGTAAGTGTGACTTTATTTGGAAACAGGGTAATTGCACATGTAATCGCAATAATCTAATCCAATATGACTGGGTCCTCATAAAAAAAGCGGTGCAGGGGCGTGTGCAGCTTGGTGGTAGGGTGATTATCTAGCATGCATAAGGTCTTGGGTTTGATAAAAGGCGGGGAGCAGTAGGGAGAACCCCATGATACATATGATACTGTGAATGGAATGACACTTCTACAAGCAAAGGAACACAAAGGATTGTTGGCAACACCAGGAACTGAGAGAATGGCATGGGACATATGCTCTTCCGGGCCAACACACCTTGATTTTGGACTTCTGGCCCCAGAACTGTGAGAAAATAAACTGTGGCTTTAAGTCACCCAGTCTGTCATTTGTTATGGCAGCCCTAGCTAACACAGGTGATAAGACCCAAGCCTCTTCACTACCAGTGTCAGTACTCTACCTTCTCCCTCCAAGGCAGTTGCTACCTTTTAAATTCCTTTTACATTCCCGGCCTTTAGGGATTTACTACTATTCCTTGAGACTTCAAACATACATTAAATTTAAACTTCTTTCTACAGCTTTATTAAGAGGTATAACTAAAAAACTGTAAAATTCACTGATTTCTTTTCTTTTTGGCAGTATTAGTGATTGAACCCAGGGCTTCTTACAGTCTAGGCAAGTGCTCTTCAACTGAGTTATATCCCCAATTCTTTAAAAAAAAATTTTTTTTAAATGTGTTTGTTGGTACTTTGGATGAACCTAGGGGTTTTCTAACATTGAGCTTCATCCTCAGCACAATTTTAATTTTGAGATAGGGTCTTGATAAGATGGCTCAGGATGGTCATGAATTTGCAGTCCTCCTACCTCAGCCTCCCAAGTGTCTGGGTGTGTATGACCATGCTTGGCAAAATTCACTCAAGTGTACAATTCAATCTTTAGTAATTTAGAGTTGCATAGCCATGTCCACAAACTACATTTCTGCCACTTGAAAAAGTTCCCTCATGCCATACAGTCTTTCATACTCCAAGCCAAGCAACCAATGATCTGCTTCCCATTGTTTTGCATTTTCTGAACATTTCACATAAACGAAAGCATGTGATATACATGTAGTCCTTTGGGTCTGGTATCTTTTATTTAGCATGTGTTGTGAGGGATCAGTTTGTCCCTTGTATTGCTCAGTAGTAGTATTTCCTAATATGAAAAAATGTTGAAAAGCCTTAGTCACCAGGGAAATACAAGTGATATACCAGTACAGACCTACGAGGATAGCTATAGTAAGAAAACCTGACAATAATGAGTATTGAAGATGTGGAGAAAGAGGTACAGATGGCTCTGGGACTGTAAAATGGCACAGCCAAATGGTAGATTTGGAAAAGGTAAGCAATGTCTAGAAAGTTAGACACTTGCTTCACAGATGACCTAGCAATTCCATTCCTAGATATGAATCCTATGTCCACACCAAGATTTACATATGTATGTTTACAGTGACATTATTTCCAAGTTGGAAATAATTCAAATGTCCATCACCTGATGAAGAGATATATAAAATGTGACATATTCATATAATGGAGTATTATTCTCAATAAAAAAAGAATTAAGTTCCAATACACAGAAACTTCTTGAGGGCAGGAGTTTGTATTTGCTTTGTTCACTGATGAGCAGAGCCTGGCATCCAGTAGGAGTTCCACTAAGTATATGCTGAGTAACCAGGGAATGAACAATCTAAGTCACTTCATTGTTTTTTAAAGACTTTATTTGAAAAATGTTCAATATTTACAATCATAGAAAATGCTCATGAGAATAAAGAAAACAAACAAAAAAAACCCAACTATATTAACAAGTTCACTACAAAACCAACCATTAAATTCACTGAAAGTTATTGAACCACCATATATTGTTAGAGCTGCCACAAGAATCAAAGGAGATTACCTGAGAAGAAAATGATCTAACATCTACTGCAAACTTAGCTACAGGTTCTTATTTTGAAGACAAAAGGGTTTTTCCAGTATTTACAACCAATTTCAAGTCTGAAAATGGAGACATAGCCCCTTAATAGTATGCTGCATACTGTCACAGGTGTACCTGTATACAGTATGTTCATTAGAAAATTCAAGGGTCATTTTCTGCCCCCCCATACACATGTCATAATTAAGATCCTCAAATTCAGCTCTGCTAAGTAGACAAGACTATGTCTTACTTTTGAGAAAAATAAAAAATAAATCTCCAAACAAGACGATGCCTTAGTAGTTGACCAGGATCCTTAGGATTCACTCTTTTTCTTTTCCTTTAAAAATATATTTTCAGCACGCAACTTTTCTGACTCCTATAAGTAATTTAAAAAAAAAAGAAAAAAAAGAATTAAAATAAAAAAAAGTTAAAGTCCTAATTTTTTTCAGGAGTACAGGAGGAGTTATTCTTACCATTTATCACGTTTGTATTTCAAATTAAGATTAGAATGCTTGATTTGTAAACTACTCAACAAACAAAAACTGGCATTTATGAGAATTTTAACTGATTCAATTATATCAGATTGTAATGAACAGAATTATTTTGAATTTAGGAAGTTCTCTGAAGCTGTTAATTGACGCAGTCATTAAACTTTAATTAATTTTACCAAGAGAATCACTTTGAACTCAGAGTGAATTTATTCAGAATGCTTTTCAGAGTGTACCTCGAGAAGCCTGACATTTTCCTTCTTCAGTCGCACTACGTATTGAATCTTCTGATGTAGGTTTTGGTGGCCCACCAGCTTCCCATTCTCCTCAGTGAGAAATTCCACCTGCTTCCTTAGCATCATCATCTCCTGCAGGAAAATCACCCCAAGGGGGTAAATGAGAAGCAGAACTTTCAAAATTACATTACTTATTGCCCTCCAAGAACACAGGAAGTGAGAGTCCAGATCCCCAGCTTCTGTGGCCACACACACCTCTGTGTACATGAGAGAAACGTGGAAGCAAGGACATGCAATCACAGAACTGAGCTTGTGTGGATTAGTTGTATTTAAGTGTCCTAAGAACCGTGAGAAGTCCCCACGCTAACACACCTGGGACCTCCTCTCATTTTCTTCATACATCTCTTCCAGTTTTGATCTCAGGCGTTCCTTTTCCTGGAAGGCTTTCGACTCTAATGCTCTGGTTCGAACAATTTCCTCCATCATCTGGAGACACTCCATCTCCCTGATGTGAAGAGCACCCTGGACTTCTTCTAGACTGTAAGAATAAATATTTCACGGTATGCCAAAGGAACGTATCTGAAAAACAGCACTCAAATTAGATATTTCCCCTCTAAGCCCCAAACTAAAATTTGGAAGCATCACTGATATTCAGACCCCTCCAGTCAGCAAAAGAAGAAAGCCAGGCTGGGGGTGTGGCTCTGGGCTAGTGCTTTCCTGGCCTGCACTAAGCAGAAAGCCAGTGCCGCAGAGCAGAGGAGCTTTTTTTAGTTAGTTACCAAGACCTTGTCTTCTCTTTTATCTTGGAAAACTTCAAAATACTTTAAAAAAAAAAAAAAAAAAGATTAAGAATGAAATTATTCAGCCCATTCAGAGCAGAAGTAATCTAAGTATCACCACAGTCTGCATGGTTTATTCATTGTCCCATATCTCTGTAATCATTTCCAATTTTGAAAACTGGTCCCCAGTGGGACACCAGTCATTTCTTCAAGGGTATGCAATTTAGAATTTATAATTTTATATAACTATCAACTGAAAAGAAACATAAGAAATAAGGTTATTATTTTTTTAATAGAGTTTAAGGGACTTCATAAAATTGTTTGAATATAGTTTCCCAAGAGGAACCAACGCTTTTTATTATACAATGCACATGCGATGTAATCTTGAAATTTTGATTACTGAAATTATGCAGTATGCAGAATTTACTATACTACTACAGGCCAGTTTTCTGTGGGTTTAACTTGATAAGACAATGTCTACCATTTGCCGGGTCCAATTCCCATGCCCAGTGATGTGTGTGCTCCTACCTGTTTCAAGGACTCCTGGTTACTAGACTGTAAGTTATATGCCAAGATAGATAGCTTTTATTCTTTTTTAAAAAAGTCTCAAATGAATATTATTTCTAATCTGATTCTACAAACCATATGTCTGGATTCTCAAAGATCCTGTGATAAGCCGGCACAGTGGCGCACACTTATAATCCCAGTGGTTAGGGAAGCTGAGATAAGAAGTCCGAGAGTTCAAAGCCAGCCTCAGCATCGGTGAGGTGCTAAGCAACTCAGTGAGACCCTGTCTCTAAATAAAATACAAAATAGGGCTGGGGATGTGGCTCAGTGAAAAGTTTCTGTAAAAGATCTGGGGTTCCTGGCTTAGTTGTACCACTAACTGACTGGAAGACAGTCTCTAAACTACTCATATGCAAATGAAAAGGTTGTTTTCACATGTAGCACATGTATACACTTTTGAGCCTATGAAGCAAATGACTCAATGATTAAGTAATGAATCTTTCACAGGTTGGGTGGTCTTTGACCACCTGATCAATCAAAGATCATTAAAACAGTATTTCTGATGAGAGAGCACCATGATTTGGGGTGGGGGTGGGGGGCAGTGCTGAGGATAGAACCCAAGGCTGCACACATGCTAGGCAAGTGCTCTGCCTCTTAGCTAGATTCCTAGCCCACCATGTAAGTTTTGGCATATTAACTTGGAAAGAGTTCAAATAATTGGATGACAGTACTCTTAACTCCTTTCACTGCTATTTGCTAGTATGTAAATGTATGAAAAAAGATTTCTCAACATTTATATCTATAAAAACATGAACAGAAATGATAATGAATTCCTGTCTCATTTTAGAATCAAGTGTAACAGAATAGCAAGTCGTTTGAAGACAAAGCATTACAATAAAATGTATTAAAAGATGCATTTCCACTAAAATCTTATTAAGTATAGCCAGGATATGGTGGTGCATGCCTGGAATTCCAGCTACTCAAGAGGCTGAGAGGCAAAAGGATCACAACTTTGAGGCCAGCCTGGGCAACTTAGACTCTGTCTGGAAAAAAAAAAAGATAGTGGTGTGGGTGTTAGGGGTGGGCTCTAGAGATATTGATAGAGCACTTATTTAGCATGTGCAAGTCCCTGGGTGTGTTCAATTCAGTACTGGAATTTAAAAAATTTTACAATAAATTTAGGACAGTTCAAATAAGAACCCAGGGGCTGGGGCTCTATGTAGCTCAATGGCAGAGTACTTGCCTAGCCTGTGTGAGGCACTGGGTTTCACCAGCACCACATAAAAACAAACAAACAAATAAATAAATAAAGGTATGCTGTCCACCTACAAAACAAAACAAAACAAAACAAACAAACAAACCAAAAAAACCAACCTAGGAAAAAAATACAACACTTGTACACTTAAAACCATATGATTTAACATACATTTTGGAGGCTGGGAACATGGCTCAGTGCATGCTAGCAGCCCAGCACAAACAATGCCTCCAGCTTGCACAAGGCTGTGGGGTTTGATTCCTAGCACAACAAAAACCCTCAAAAGGGTTACTCTTGGGCTGGGGATGTGGCTCAAGGGGTAGCCTGCTGCCTGACATGCGTGCAGCCTGGGTTGGATCCTCAGCACCACATACAAACAAAGATGTTGTGTCCGCCGAAAACTAAAAAATAAATATTAAAAATTCTCTTTCTAAAAAAAAAAAATAAAAATAAAAAAGGGTTACTCTTAGCTTGTGAACATATTTTCATTGCTAAGTAGAATGATGAGTTAATCAATAAAATATTCCCCCCAAAATATAATTTATTGGGAAAAAATTCTGCAGAGTACAGAATGGAAACTCAATTGCAAAGGAAAAGGGAATAATGTATAATTTTAGACTCAGAAATTTGCTCATTTTTTTTTTTTTAAACCCAGGGTTGCTTAATCACTGAGCCACATCTCTCACATTTTTTTTTTTTTGAGAGAGAGAGAGAATTTTTTTAAATATTTATTTTTTAGTTTTCGGCAGACACAACATTTTTGTTTGTATGTGGTGCTGAGGATCGAACCCGGGCCACACGCATGCCACGCGAGCGCGCTACAGCTTGAGCCACATCCCCAGCCCACATCCCTCACATTTTGAGGCAGGGTCTTGCTAAGTTGATTAGAGCCTCACTAAATTGATGAGGTTGGCCTCGAACTTGGGATCCTCACCCCTCAGCCTCCCAAGTTCCTGGGATTATAGGCATGCACCCTCATGCTTGGCTTGCTCATGCATTTTTTTTCCAGTGCTGAGGAATCAAACCTAGGGCCTCATTCATGCTAGGCAAGCACTCTACTGCAGCCCTCATTATCTTGCTTTTTTCTTTTTTTCCCCCTTTCCCTTTTTGTGGTACTGGGGATTGGACTCAATGGTGCTCTACCACTGAGTTACATCCCCAGCCCTTTTTCATTTTTTATTTTATTTTGAGAGAGAATCTTGCTAAAATGCCCAAGCTGGCCTCAAAGTTGAGATCTTCCTGTCTTGGCCTCCCAAGTTGCTAGGACTATATGTGTGCCACCATGCCCAGTCCTTCTTGTATTTTTAAATGGATAGAAAGTAGCAAATTGGTTGGAAACCTTTAAAAGAATGAGAAGAGTTTTAATTGCAAATGTTATCATGTTCAACAAGCCAGACTATTCATCCTTTGCAATAATTTAAATTTATAATGAAAAGTTTTAGATAAAAGGCCAAATTAAAAATATGTAAGAGGGGGGCTGGAGATGTGGCTCAGCGGTATCGCGCTTGCCTGGCATGCGTGCGGCCCGGGTTAGATCCTCAGCACCATATACAAACAAAGATGTTGTGTCCGCCAATAACTAAAAAATAAAATATTTTTAAAAAAATATGTAAGAGGGTATATGGTAGCTCAAAATTCTCTTAAGATGTATAACAAGTAGAAATTTTTGGTAATTACTCCATCTTTTGAATGTTCTTTTATCATTTTATTGGTTACTTAGTTTGAACTTGATAGAAAATACACTGTACCTTGTTCATCAAAGAATGAGGCAATTTATAAGGATATATAAATTAATGGGAAAACTATATGAATAAATTAAAATCATGGCTTCAAAAAAAATATGACCTGTGGGTATCAGGGGCCCTCTCAAGGTTTTAAATCAGAGGAAACCAGAATAGATGTAAAAAGGGAATCCTGGCCAGTTATACTTTTCTTATGCCCATGAGGATAAAAATGCATTCCTCAAGGGATGTTAGGCTTTTCCATGGACTTATTTCTTAAAATTCCCTTAGAGGAAAATAAAGAAAAGACAATCAAGCATTTGAACTACAAAATAGTTTACTTACTCTGCCTTCATTTTCATCATTTCTTCGACTATTTTACTCTATAATAAGATTAAAAAAAAAGGAAAAAAAAAGATGGCTTAAGGTCCTTTATAACATCAAATTTAAAGATGTTAAAACATTAAAAAGAAAAGACTGAAAAAGAAAGCAATCCATCCCTCATGCTAATAAAATCAAACCAATGTCCTCTCCCACAATCCCAGTCACACATACATCATGGGGTACATATTCACAAGGCTTCAGGCACTGTGCCTTCTAAGGCTGCTAAGTGAAGAACTGTACTGGGCACGCCAACCAGGCGACTTCCCACCAGGCACGAAGACAAACCCCCGGTACTTCTCTCAGCAATGTCTAAATGCCGACGGTAAATATTATGCTCAACATATGCAGGAAAGACAGGAATCTCAGTAGCAAAATAGTTTCAAAAACATGTAAATATGAAAACTTTCTCATAGAAAAAGACACTATTGTGTCACGTAAATCATACTTTAGCAAGTCTTTCTTTGATAATTTCTTCTTCTTCACCCTTCAGCTGTTGATCGTTGGGATGATTCTGGTCACTGCATAGGTTAGAAGAGTGAACAGAGAAACATTGTCAAGTAGATCCAAGTATCAGTTTCAAATTCATTATATGTTGCAACAAAAATTTTGTCAAGAAAAGCTAACTCTTTGGTGATGGGTCAAGTTAGTACAGTTGATATATGTGACCAACACATGGGATGAAGTAAGGCTGCTCCCCAGAACTCAGGACTCATTCCTCCCAGTACAAAAACATGACAAGCAGAGCTGGGGAATCTAATCAAGACCTGGCTGAAAGTGAAAGTAGAAACTAATGCAGAGCGGTAATACCTGAAGATAAAATGGGGCATGGCCTTGGATGAGTGTGACCAGGTGGGAGGGGGCCTTTTTGAGTGGGGAGTGTTTCTCAGGGGGCCTCTGGGTGGCTTGGCCCCTTGGAGCCCGACTTCCCCTTTGGATTCCCGAGGAACCACACAGAAATCTCTTCATGAGAAAGGAACGTTCCCTAAATACAGACGGACGGCAACACTCTGGGGGCACAGCCCCCTCTGTGAGGTGAGTTCCGAGGACAGTCCCATGGACAGCAAGACCTCCCCCTTAGAAAACCTGCCTGAATGCCGTGAGCTTCTCTAGGAATCTCTCTCTGTCGGGTGAGTACAAGACCATTTCTTGAAGGAAAACAGAAGCTACAGTAAGGTCTCTTTCCCTTAACGAATCTGGCAGCCTAGACAAAAATGGCAATGAGACTCCAGTGAGGAAGAACTCGACATCATGAGGGGGGGGCAGATGCTTCCTGTGTGCTAATCCAGGGATAGGCAAACTTCTTTTTTTTTTTTTGGCAGTACTGGGGAGTGAATTCAGGGGTGCGCTACCACTGAGCTACATCCTCAGCCCTTTTTATTTTTTATTTTGAGACAGGGTCTCACTAAGTTGCCTAGGCTGCTGTGAACTTGCAATCCTCCTGCCTCGGCCTTTGAGTTGCCAGGATTGTAGGTGTATATCACTGTGCCTGGCAAAGGCAGATTTTTCCTGTCAGGAACTAGATAGTAAGTATTTTAGGCTTTGGTGGCCGTATCATCTCTGTCACAGCTACGCATCTGTCTACCTCAGCAAAAAAGCAGCCATAAAAATATTTAAGTGAAAGGTGACTATGTCCCAATAAAACTATTTGCAAAACAGGCTGTGGGCTAGACTTGGCCCCTGGACTGTAGATCACCCCTTTTCCTGAGTTTTCAAAGAAGGTTTGGTGTGGCTCCTTCTACAAAGGACATGAGACTATGAAATAAAGTATTTAAATCATTTATTTAACCACAAATGAGTCTGGGCATGTTCTATTTCCATGTTTCTACCTACTCTTGAAAAAGGAATGGATGTGGGGGTGGAGCCTTTGGGAACTTGGGTGAGCAGACTGTGGACTGTGTTCATCAATTACCTAGAAGGAGAGGAAATTGCTTATCAAAAATGTAGACTTCTGCCTTAAATCCTGCCTTACAAAATCTGACTCTGATACTTATTAAAACTGGGAAATAACTATTTAAAAAAAAGACTGTTAGTACAGTTCCATCACCACCCTCAAATCTCTTGTCTCAGATGGGTTGCTGGGGAGTTGTTAAAGACTTTCTGGCAACAGCATCTATTGGATAGATATTTCTGGGAAGCTGAATTCAGTAAGGTCCTCTATCCCAGAGGACGCCCCCCCCCCCAACTCTGGTTCATTTCAACATCCCACATAATTTTATAGCCCCTCTCGTCTTTAGTCCTTCATGAAGAAAATTAGCAATAGGTTGGGTCATAATCCTACATTGGGTACTTATTAAGTACCTTTTATTGAGTGACACTGTTAGTCAAGCATGTAACTGGTACTTTACATAAGTTTATGTTGTTCTGGGGCTGGAGATGGAATCCAGAGCTCAGGCATGTTGGCGAGTGCTCTGACACTCAACCACATTCCCAATCGTGTGTGTACATGTTCTTTTTAATCTTTAAAACATCTTGGGAAGAAGACAGAACTTTCCTCACTTTAATGTTAAGGAGACTAAGGCACTAAGAGGTTAAAAAATGTGTTCAAAATCACAAGGCTTTTAAATATTAGAGACAGGACATAGGTCTGGTGGCACTATGTTATGTATAAATGCACAAATGCAAATAAACAACTGCTCTAAGCTGAGGCCAAATCACACACACAGAGATGGTCATGGCAGGGGACTCTCTGTGTATAAGGCTGAGGATGTTCTGGCCCAGCCCAGGAGTGTTCCTGGACCATGAATTCTGATGGCAGGAATCCTCCCATTTTTCAGCAGCCTTCTTGAACTTTGTCTTGTTGAATTTACTATTAAAAAAAAAATCTTTTTTAAGTAGAAGTAATTTGATTAAAATATTTCACACATTATAAATTCATTCTGGTAGCTTTACAGTGCACAGGGTAACAGAGTAGCTGAGACCACAAATGCCTTATCTTCCCACTCTGGAAAAACCAACACCCTCTCCAGACCTGCTTCAGATCAGCTAAGGGAGCACTTCCTGGGCTAGTGGAACATCACATACACCATGAAACCAACCCAATCTCACTCATCCAACCACACCCAGGCAGGCCAAGGTCTGGCCCACAGAATTCTGGTGGCTTCTTCTCACCTGTTGTCCTTCTGCCTTTTAATGTCATCCAGCTGACTTTGTAGGAGCCAGTTTTTCTCTCTTAACTGCTGGGATTCCAGGCGCAGGTTTTCCATTGCAGACAACTGCTCCTAAGAACATACCAAAATCATGCTCTTCAGAAAACACACAACAGTATTATTTTGCCCCCCAATCCATGACTGCAGCGGGCATTCCTCTTTTAAGCTCCTCCTCTGTACAGAACAGGGCAAGGGGTTTTGCTGAATAAAACAGAGATTGTGACAAGTTCTCGGAGGCCCAGAACTAGGATTCACGACCATATCCATGGTACTTTGAACAGTTTCTTATCAATATCACATAAGTCATTTGTTTATGTGGGTGGAATTTTATAATTCCTTTAGGAGAAAAAAATGACAAAAGTCTCTACTTTGATGCCATAGTTGATCCCTCAAAATACTTAATCAGATCCTAACTTAAAAATCACGAATGTAACCATCCAGAAGAATAAACACTTGTCTGCAAGGAATATTCTTTTAAATTTAATTCTACTATCCTGGCCCAATTTCTTCTACGTTTCAAGATCATGACAACCTGGGTAACAGCCCCATTCCTGAGATAGCATGAAGTGCCCCGAATTCAAAGGGAAGGAATGATCCTCTCTCCTTGACAAACAAAATCCAAGAGTGATACTATCTTTACTTACATTATGTCACTTGGTTAACATGACCTAATTGAGTTCCTAAACAAACTCTCACTGCAGAGCAATGAACAGGCTAAATGCTAATTTCTGTGGGCATCCACATCCCTCCTTCACATTTATCTATGTACTCTTCACATGCCTCCACCCCAAATCATAGAAATGCCCTGCCATGCACAGAAGAAATTAGTTTAAATTTATCACAGACGGAAATAAATCTCCTTCATATATAAGGAATGCCCACAAATCAATAAGAAAAAGTCCAATAACAGAAAAATGGTGAAGGATATAGTTCACCATGAAAGAAAAACAAAAGATGTTGATGCTACTTTAAATAAGAAAAAAATAAAATGACACTGAGATAACATGCTTATAAGATGGCAAAGACCTCAAAGTTGCATAGCACTATGAGGTGAAGTTTAAGGATACAGGCTGTCGCCTGAGACAGTGTAGTTGGTACAAATTGTATGATATGATACAACTGTGTAAAGGCCACATAGGGCAGGAAAAGGAGGCTTACAGACTTAAACCAAGTGTACACACTGAAAAGCTCTAACAAATAAGAAAAAAGAAACCGGCTACCCTGGGACTCAAACTAGGTAGCTAGGAACCAGAGGTAGGAGGAAGACTTTTCTCTGTTCACCTTCAGTTCTGTGCCCTTTGAATATCTATCCTTAGCAGCCTTGAGAATCCTGCTTATTTTTAAAAATTAAATTTACTAGAGGGGGAAAAGGACCCAGGTACCTTCATTCTGAGGATTTCAGCATTTTTGACTTCTCTGTCTTCATTCAGCTTTGTTACAAGATGTTGCAAAGATGTCTTAGAGGCTCTTCCATCTTCTATCTCTTGTTCTTGTGTTTCCAGGAGTTTTGCCAAATGTGTTTGAAAATGAGGTGGTGGTGTTTTAGGACTCTAAAATAAAATCACATCTCATCCAAATACCCGATTAAGTGATGCTATACAGATTTCATAAATCTATATAGCTAATACACAGAATATGCATTTAAATGTATATGCCAAGAAGCTAGCACACAGTGCATACTGAGACATAAGTTGGTTTAACTTATTATTCAAATTCATGTCCAAGTAAAACACCAAAGACTGGTACTTTTATCAAGGAGAAAGCAGACAGAGGGCATTAGTGAAAAGACAAAGCTATCCCATTCCTTGGCACAAACCCAAAGGACATAAAGTCAGCATACTCCTGTGAATTAGCCATATCAATGTTTATAACAAGCTCAATTTACAATAGCTAAGCTATGGAACCAACCTAGATGTCCTTCAACAGATGAATGAATAAAGAAAATGTGCTCTATTATAAACAATGGAATATTACTCAGCCATAAAGAAGAATGAAATTATGGCATTTGCCAGTAAATAGTTGGAACTGGAGACTATCATGCTAAATGAAATAAGCCAATCCCCCCCAAAAGGCTGAATGTTCTCCCTGATATGTGGATGCTAACATACAACAAGCGGAGGCAGGAAGAATAGAAGTTCATTGGATTAAACGATGGGAATGAAGAAAAGGAAGGTGGTGGGAAAAGGAAAGAGTAGAATGAATCAGAAATAACTTTCCTATGTTCATATATGACTATACATGACCAGTGAAACTTCACATCACGTTCAACCAAAAGAATGAGATCCTCATTAGAATAAGCTATATACCATGTATGTATAATATGTCAAAATACATTCTACTGTTATGTATACCTAAGATTAAAAAAAAAAAAAAAAAGACCAAGCTATGGTTCTGGTAATTTCTACATTTTTATCATTCACAAAACAAACTATTCAGTCCTCCTGCAATGCATGCTTTTCTTGGGAAGTACCTGGGGATACTCGGCAGCAAAATCCATTACGTGTTCTAGTTGCCTCATTTTGAAGTTATATTCATTCTTCTTCTGTTCTACTTCCTCTTTCTTTTGGATTAGCTGGGGAAATTGAACAGAAGAAAGGTTACAAGTTAGAAAATGATATGAAACACAGGGTTCTAATTACAAAAGACAAGCTTCCGCATCACCAATCATCAGGGAGATACAAATAAAAATCACAATAAGGTTATCACCTCATACCTATTAGAATGGCTTCACACACACACACACACACACACACACACACAGAGGAAAATGGTATAGAGGTTTCCCCTGAAAAACTTAAACTAGAACTACCACCTGGCCGGCAATCTCACTTCTGGGTATGTAACCAAAGGAACAGAAACAATATACCGAAGAGAACTTTGCTCTCCCATGTCCACTGCAGCCTTATTCACAATAGTCAAGTTAGAGTAGATCTAAATGTCCACCAACAGATGAGTGGGTAAGAAAATGTGGTGTAATGACCAAATGCTGTTCAGCCTTAAAAAGAAGCAGATTCAGTCCTCTGTAATAACAGCATGGATAAAACTGGAAGGTGCTGTGCTAACTGAAATAAGCCAGAGGCAGAAAGCCAAACCCACATGATCTCACTTAAGTCTGGAATCTAAAAAAGCCAAACTCATAGAAGTAGAGAATAGTGGTTACCAGAGGCTGGGAGCAGAGGAAGTTGAATTGGTCATGTTGGTTAAGGGGTACAAAATTTCAGGTGTATAGGAAAAATAAGTTTTTGAGATCTACTGCAATGTAATGTGAATATAATAAAAAAGTCAATTAATTTGACTAAATCATCCCATAATGTGTGTTTGTATAAGATCACACTGTACCACATAAATATATATTATATCTATCAATTTAAAAAAGACATTTCTTGCTGGGTGTGATGGCATGCCTATAATCTCAGTGACTCAGGAGGCTGAGGTAGGAGGATCCCAAGTTCAAGGCCAGCCTTAGCACTTTAGCAAGGCCCTAAGCAACTGAGTGAGACCTTGTCTCAAGATAAAATATAAAAAGGATTGGTGATGTAACTCTGTGGTAAAGTACTCCTAGGTTCAACCCCAATTAAAAAAAAAAAAAAAAAAAAGACATGCATGCCTATAATCCCACCAACTAGGGAAGCTCAGGCAGGGGGCAAGTTTGAGTCAGCCTGGGCAACTTAATGAGTCTCAAAAAATAAGAGTATCCTTGTGTTCAATCCATAATACTATGGAAATAAAATATAATAATAAAAATGTTTCTTAGAGAATGAAGGAGGTGGCATCACTATACCAGAGCTATAATAACAAAAATGGCAGGTATTGGCACCAAAATAGACTTGTAGACCAATGGTACAGAATAGAGGATGCAAAGACAAACCCACATAAATACAGTAAACCCACTAATCTCCTTTGCTCCCATAATTTGCCCTGGTTTTACTTTCTAAATTTTATAATAAAAGGTTCATTTTAGAAAAATACAAAAATGTAAAACAACAATAGTGGCCAAACAATGATGGTGAGCTGTGCCCTTATCACAGTGGTTAGAAGTTGTAGCCATGTGCCAAGGACTCAGAGCAGGGAAGGATATGGCCATGCAAGTATCAATTCAAGTGAGCAAACCCAAATCCACAATCCACAGTGCAAATGCCAGATCACCTACACTCTCCTCAGTCTTCACCTTTTGTGTGCAGAGAACCCAGCCAAGGCAGGAATATCCTGACAACCTCCACTGTGGATTCTGCCTGACACCATCTTGAGTGACACCACTCTGCAGCTTACCTCGTGCTGAAGTTCCTGGATCAGGGCGTCCTTCTTGGTCAGTTCTTCCTGGGCTGACTGAAGCAGCTCTGAGTGTTTTTTCGAAGCCTCTGTGAGCATGTTCAGCTGCTCAGTGGCATGAGCCAGATCTTCACAGAGCATATCCCTCTGTTAGAGGACAAAATCCCCATAAAGAAAAGAACTTAATTTTGATATTCCAATAAAGGTTCACAAATCACTACTAATTTTTTAAAGGTTGATTTTTTTTTATGTTAAAAAAAAAGTCTTTTTTTGCTTATGTGCCAGTGCTAATCCATTCCAAGATAAACCAATCAATTGATATTCAGGTGAACAGTAAATGCATAGCAATATCTCAGTGGGGGTTGAACTGCACTCCTCCCCAACCCTTTGGATCTTAAAGCTGATCTCTTTCCTGGGGAGGACTTGAGGTATAGAGCTTACCTGATGTCTCACTAATTGATTCTAGACTTTTATATACTAACAGGTAAATAGCTATCACAATACCATACCACCAAGTCAGTTGGGTAGGGGCTGGGCAGTGCACCATTTCACAGGTCATCAATTTCAGTGTGTAAGGTGACGGAAAGTAAGACAGAATTAGAAGTCTTATAGGTTGCACACATAATTCCTATGTATGCAGTGCATGTAATCACTATCAAACTGTGAAGAATCTGCTTATACTTCCTTTCCAAATCTATGCATGTATGTATTCATCTGCTTTTTAACAACAACAACAAAAAAACCTTGATATATTACAAACATTTTTCCATCTACTCACTCTTTTCTTGTATAATTTTCTTTGGGTGGGCTCCTTTTCATATAGATACATCACAGTTTAACCCATCACTGAATATTTTGGTTAACTTAAATTTTTCAGTATTAAATATACTTTTTTCTCATATCTAGATTTACTTCTTTAGGGTAATTTTTTAGAAGTACAAACTCAAAGTATACACAAAAAACTTAAGGAACATATTACCAGATTATATCTCTAAAGGCTGGACCTCAATACCTCCAAATGTCTATGAAATCATCCCCTTCTGCACATCTTCCTTGAGGCTCACACTTTACAACATATTTTAATTTGCACTTCTTCGATCCAAAGAGGTTTGTGTGCCACTATATTCCTTTTTGTGGGGGATGCCCATGTACCTTTTTGCATCCACTTCCCTCCAACCAGGGATGTTCTGTCCCTTCTTGTGACTTGTAAGAGCTCACCTATGTATGTATTCAGCTGATGACCTGATGCCATCAGTTGTAGCTTCCCCCAATCTATCCTTCAGTCTTATTTTTGTCTTTAACTTATATAATATTCCCTTTTTTGGTTTCTAACCATAGTACCAAGATTTTTTTCAAAGGGCCACTTTTAAAAACAATCTTCGGGATTCATCATGTCTTTGTGTTTTCTAACACTTTTGTAATACCATTTGTTTAATCTAAGAACTTGCATTGGTAAGAATCTAACCTTATCTTTTCAAGTGGGTCTTTTCCTAATATTTATTGACAACCCATGTTCTCTTCACTGTTGTGAAATATCCCTTTTACCACCACACTAAATTCCTTCCCCTTCATGGTGGTCTCTCTGTGCATGTCAAATTGTTGCAAAGATCTGACATCAGTCCAACACTGAGATATTATTATGTCTAGTTCACAAATCTCTCTGCATTATTATTTTTCTACATTTTGTTGAGAAATTCTGTGTATTTATTTAAAGGAATTTTCAAATCCTCTTGTCAAATTTTTAAAAATTGAGATTTGAACTCGAATACATAAATTTCTATTTTTATAAAGCAATAATGTACCTTCCTCTACAAGTCTCCTACAGGTTTATTCAAGTCTCAGCAAGTTTTGTCCTTGATACTTGCTAAACCTTCTCCCTAAGATTATGAAATACTATGTTTTTGTGAATTGCTGATGTAAAGAAAGCTATTTTTACAAATACTTAGCCAGGCACAGTGGAGCATGTTTGTAATCCTAGTAACTGAGGAGGCTGAGGCAGGACTGTCAAGTTCAAGGACAGCCTGGGCAAAGTCTTGTACAAATATTATCTCTTTTGGAAAGCTCTTTGGAATTTCCCCAGGCAGAATTACTTCCCTCCCTCCCTTTTCTGTGCTTCAAGTAATTTATTACATAGCAATACACTTAAGCTACATGCCTATGTAACAATGTTTTAATCATTCTTCCATTCCCAAATGCCAGACCAGATATAGGTTGTACAATAGGTAGATCCAATAAGTATTTGTTGAAGTTACTTCATTGGTAGCACATTTTTCCAAGAAAACCTTACTTCTTTTTTTTCCCCAAAGAGTTTCATTTTTTTAAATTAAATTATTTATTTATTCTAATTTGTTATACACGATGGCAGAATGCAATTCAATTCATATTACACATATAGAGCACAATTTTTCAAGTCACTGATTTTACACACAAAATATTTTCACACTATTCCTGTCTTCATTACTTAGGGTAATGATGTCTAACTCATTCCACCATCATTTCTACCCCCTTCCCCCCTCCCTCCCCTTTGCTCTAACTAAAGTTCCTCCATTCTTCCATGCCCCATCTCATCACCATTATGAGAAAACCTTATTTCTAAAGCAAATGAAGAACAATATACACGGGAGATTACCATCTATGTGAAAGTATTTAGGATTAACCTAAAATATCTCTGGAAGAATACATAAGAAACTGGTATTACTGGGTGGGTGCTTTACCACTGAGCTTCATTCTCAGTCCTATTTATTTATTTGTTTATTTTTAAATTGTGAGACAGGGTTTTGCTAAATTGTTGAGTCTGGCTTTAAACTCATAATCTTTCTGCCTCAGCCTATTGAATCACTAGGATTACAGGTGTAAGCCACCATGCCCGGCTAGTACCACTTAATTTTTAAAAAGATAAATTTAAACCCACAATGAGAACAACAACAAAACTAAAACCTACTTTAGCTAAAATGTAAGAGGCCACCCTGAAATCAAACTGTTAGCCAGTCTTTCCTTTCCTCTCACTTCTCCCACTGCGTCCAAGTAAATTCCGATTCCACTCTGCATTTCTTACATGAGGAAGCCAGTTTAGGAACTTACCAGGGTATCATCACAAATGAATGAAAACAGATCAACTACCCAAAACAACAATTTTAGTGTTATCTCTGAATCGTTCAACCTCCCATGAGAAAAGTGGCTCTGATTTAATCATTAAAAAAAACCTTCTATTTTTTTTTTATTAAAAAACCTCCATGCAAAAATATACATATCGACAAGTAAGAAGACAAATAAAGTGCTATGTTAACATGTACCTCAATGTCCTCAGAGAGTATTCTCAGCCTAAGGGTTTCTTTCAGATCCTGAATATCTACTTCCTGTCTCTTGATCAATGCTTTGCTCTCTTCTTTGTCAACCAAAGCAGAGTTGTATTTGCACTGCAGAAAAGAAAATCATGATTCAAAATCTGTCTGCTTTATTAGCTGTTTATTTGTAGATTAAAATAATTTAAGAGCTGTGTGGTGATGACCAGATTAACAAGTTAGTTCAACAATACTTGTTAGTAAAGGAATGGAAGAATTGATGCACGTGGCAAAGAGAAGTAGGAAAGTCCCATAGATCAGTGAAAACATATCTGGTTTTGTCATCTTCATCAGGAGACTACCTTTGGAAAAACATATGGAGTGTGGCAAGCTCCTCTTGGAACCCAAAGGGGGACAAAACCTTCACCTTGACCCAAGCTGAGGAGGAAGCATCATCATTCAATTTAGAAACATGAAGAAAGAAGTAGTTACTTTAAGTCTAATACTGGGGAAACAAACCAATTTTCTCCATGATTAATGTCTCTGAACTTTATTAAAATGTGTTATTTTTTCCTGGAAGCAACTAAGGAGCACCACCTTAGCTTTCACTGTCTCAGATAACACCCCGTTTGTTCTTATCTGGTTTGTATCAGCAACTCCCAAGTGGTGCATGGAGAACATTGTTCCAGGACAGTGAAGAGTGGGAAATGCTACCGATTGTGCTGCCTCCCAAAGATATGCATGCTGCACAATAAAAGCTTTGCAAGAAAGGAAACACAGTAATTCACTGAACTTCAATTTGTATTTCCAAATTTACTTGATCCCAGAATCTTCAATGTTTGTTAACCCTTTGAGGAATCTATGAAGTGTGTCTCAAGCACAAATTTACTATCTGTTTTGGTGACTGAACTTACGTTTATGTCCTTCAGTTCTTGTTTCAGGGTGTCTATAGTTTCTGTTTTCTCACAGATTGATGTTCTTAGTTCCTGGATCTGGTTCATGAGTTCAGCTACAACTTCCTGATGAGGATAGAAACAGTATCTTCATACCCATTGATGTTAAGGACATCATTTTAAAGTGATAAACCATTTATCGTTCCTAATGGCAACATAAGAAGTCAATTTTATTTTAGCAAAATATCATATCACACTCCATTATTAATATCAGTTTATATTTACTGGCTTTATTCTACTTTAATTGTTTCGGTTTTATAAATGAATAAGAGTTAGAGAAATAAGGATTTTTCTAGGTCTATGTTATTAAGGCCTGTGTTTTTGTTTTTGAGATGGGGATCTTTCTTTGTTGCCTAGGCTAGCCTCAAGCTCAGGATCCTATTGCCTCAACTTCCCAAGCAGCTGGAGTTTCAGGGGTATATCACTGTATTCAATTTATACCTGATTTTTATACTTGGAGAAACATGTTATTTTTATTATTCCAGATAAAGTCAGCATGAAGGGATTTGAGAATTTGTATCATGGAACTTACAATTAATGAGAAAGGAGCACAATTATATCAGCATCCTATTTAAAAGGGCAGAATGTGTTTTACAAACACATTCTCTATTCAAAGCAACAGAACAGTTTCCTCTTGAAATTACTTGATAATTAACTTAATTGGAAGAAGCATTCTGTAAGCACCCTTGTCAACCAAAGCAGAGATGTATTTGCACTGGAGTGTACAAATACGAACATGGAAATGGAACTTTCCACCTTCCCTGAAGGTGGAATGTCAAGTTAGCATTTATAAACTCCACCTACCTTGTCAGACTCTCTAGACTTTTCCAGAGAATCGATCACTTTTTCAGTAACAAGCAAACTCTCTTCTAATTTCTGTACTTTTGCCATCTACAGAGAAAAACAAATACTTAAAAAAAGAATTAAATCATGACCACACATACATTCAAATACTAACCAACCAAGCAAGCTGATTCCTGCTTTTCAACTATAGAGTCTATAAATAAGAGTAATACTTCAAAATGATCAACTGTGTTGAAAGGCAATGATACGGTGGGTTCTCCACCAGGAGGACAAATAATGACCTACGACGATAGCCACTTAGGAGTTAGAAAAGTAAGAGCTAAAAAAATTAACTGATTTCCAACACTTAAAGCTGAAATAGTTTTTATAATAAACTTGTTTACATATCAGGTTCAAACTTCAAATTCTAGAGTCAGAATAACAGGAAATTTACCTGTTCTTCACACTTGGCCATCTCTTTCTGTTTTTCCTGTCGTACAGCCTCAAGAACTTTTAAGATTTCTCTGGAAGAGAACAATTACATTTTAACCCATTCCATTTAATGTAAACAGGAACTGAGTCTGTTAGTTTGGAAGAGATTAAATGCAATACAATTGAAGTTTACTAAACACACCTTGGCTTTGTCAGTATATTCCAGTAGAAGTCAGAAAGTTGAACCATTTCAATGGCTAGCTAACAAGAGTCCAATTTTGTTTCATGACTATTTTCTTCAGAGTGTTTTGTACTCCTCAACATAACATTCAGATTTGTTAATTACTTCTCTCTTCTATGTTAAAGTTCAGTAGGACAAGGATGTTTTGTTTCACTGTTTTACTCTATACATTGTGGCATTTACCAGAATAGGGCCTGGCTTAATGAATATCACTAAATGTTTGCATGAGTGAGAATATGTTAACAGCCTATCTCCTATCTAGATATAAGCTCTACATTTACCACTGTATACCAAAGCATGGAGATTCTATATCATAAGAAGAACTCTATAAATACTGATTGAAGAAACAACTCTTCCTTAAAGTGATCATGAGACTACTGGCTAAGCCCAAGAGACTGACTAAAGGCTATCAAGGAAAAGAACTTGGAGAGAGAGAGAGAGAGAGAGAGAGAGAGAGAGGGAGAGGGAGAGGGAGAGGGAGAGGGAGGAAGGACAGACAACAGCATTCCTGGTAAGGGACCAGAAAGAAAAAAGAACATCTAGAAAAAGAACAGTAGAAACAGAAATAAAAATCAGCCCCCACCTCCCAATAATAAATGGAACAGCTAGAAGTTATATATACTGTGACTTACAAAAGACTCTGAGTTCTGATTACTACCTGTCTCAATTCATTTAAAAGCACCACAGATAGTTATTGCTAAGTTTCTTTATATAGCCAATTAACAAAAGCATCTGATATTCATTTCGGCAAACTTTAAAAGAAAAAGCTTTTTGTCTTTTTTTGTGGTACTGGCAATGGAACTCAGGGCCTCACACAGGCTATACAAAAGTGCTCCACCACTGAGCCACATCCCCAGCTGAAAATAACTCTTTGCAGGGTATTAGCAAGAAAACAAAAACAAACAAGACAAAGAATGTGATAGTGACAGCACTCACTTAGAACTGTTTTCTTTATCCTCTTCAAACTGCAATGATAATTTGTTGTTGCGTTCTTTTTCTGCCTCAAAAAGCTCCATCAAGTTCTAAAAGACAAACTTAACATTAGATTTGAAGACACTGCTATATGCAATGTGCAGCCAACAAATATGTGGCATACCTTCCACGTGGCAGGCACTGAGGCTGGTCTAGGGAAAGAGCGGGAGGGAGTCAGGGCTGTCCTTGCCTTTCACACAACAGAACAGCCACAGTCCTGGGTCACACTCACCCATTACCAATACTCTTTGTCACTTACATTGAGGTCAGTTTTCAGAGTTTCATTTTCTTTTTTGCAGTTTTGGAGATTTTTTGAAAGTTGGTCAATTTCAAATCTCATTACTTCCTGTAAGTTGTCATAGGAATCTTGTAGGCAAGCTTGGCTCTCAAGAAGCTTTTCATGTTCTAATCTTTACCAGGAAAACATTTTGCAATGGTAAACACACAAGCATTCAATATTTTTATGAGTCAGATTATCTGCACTTAAATTTATTCTATCAACAAACCACTGCCAACTTACATAAACCTAATGAACACACACACACACACACATAAATATGTATGTGTTTGTGGTGTAAACAGTATATATCAAGTAAGCAAAATAATTCAAGAAACAACACTACTGTTGTGCTGACTCATTCAGAGGCCACACAGCACCCGAGTGCCACATTAGAGAATAAGCAGTCCAATAAGTGAATTATTCAATGTTAGAACAGAAAAAATGAGAAAGAATAAATTGTGTCCAGTATATTTAAAAAGTCAGGACATATTTAATACTTTTAAGGTAAATTTAAAAACCTAAATATTATGTATTCTTTACATTTTTGATGTAGGCCCTCTCTGATAAGTAAATATAAGGATAATAAGATCCAATGAGATTAGTAGAGTGACTTAAGAAAAAAAATCACACAAAACTAGTTTGTAATAAAGCCAACATTATACTCAGCGATTCAGAGGTTAAAACAAATGCCAGGTGTAATAAAAGGTGTGCAGCTATAATAAATTACTAAAAATTACTACTTTGTTGAAGCAGTTTGAATTGGGTTTATACCACCTGTACATCACATCATCCTAAGTTACAACCCATCAAGCACCTTGAAATCATCACACAACAACTCTACCTGACGTGGCCCAGCTGAAGCTGTACATGCACGTGTCTTTCAGACAGCTCGTTGAATTCTTTTTCCTGACTCTTTTTGAATGAACTATACTCCAGTTTTACTGAAGAAAGCTCCTTGTCAGCAGAATGAAGAACTACTCGCAGGTCACGCACCTCACTTTTTAAAACTAAAAAACAAAACAAGTCCTCAACAGGTTTCATCACAAATATTTTTTTATAAAGTACACGAATATATTTGATGATACCATTAAGGACAGATATTGAATCAAGTGGTGGTACCCAAGAGACCTGAGATTTCTGTTTCATCTTCTCCCTACTGCATAGCTCTTCCTACATTTCTAGTTAAAGAAGAAGAGTTAACATCTCTCCCTCACTTACAGGTCACTTTACTTTTCTAGATTTCTCCTGTAAAATGTGCATCAAAACTCTTAAGAAAGAAACATCATGAGGTCTAACAAATTTCAAGTGACTTTATCTTAGTTACTGAAAATCTTTTGGTGATATACCAGAACTTTTCAATATGGGCTAAACACCTCTGGTCTTCCAGGGAAACTCCAACTGTAATATCAATTAGGTAACTTTTTAAATTAAAAACAAACAACAGAATAGCTATTTTTGTTGCTGCTGTGTTAGCTTTACTGTAAACTCTGATAAAGGGAAAAATAAGAAATGAGTGAAAAAACTGGGAAATCAAATGATGCTCCCAAAATTAAAAAAATAATGCTTTGTCAATATTAAAACACTCATAAATTGAAGATACTTCATTTTCAAAGCAGTTTAATTAAGATGCTAAGCAAACATCTTTGTCATTTGTTTATCAAAAGTAATAAAAGTTTCTTTTTATAATATATTATCGTCACCACTGTCATGTAAACTCAAGTATGGTTGTCTAACAATAAAACAATCCAACCCCAAAACACAGGACGACATTTATTTAAATGAGTAAAAAGACGCTGAGGTTACAGTATTCCTTCAGGTCACAAAACTCCTAACTGTTCAAACTTACAATCATTCTCAGTCTGAGTCTCTTGAAGCAGCTTTTCAAGGACATTCAACTGTGAGAGACGTTCTTCTTGCTGTTTGGTCCAATCAGTTCTTTCTGATGAGAAAAGCTTTGGGAAAGAGATATGTTTACTGGAAAAGGAATACTGGTGGGGTAAGACAGTTTAAATCATCAGTTTATTTCTGTTTTTTTTTTTTTTTAATCCCTTCTAGTATTTGGGATTGAACCCCATCTCGTGCATGCTAGGCAAGCACTCTGCCACTCAGATATATCCCCAGACTTTATTTTTATTTTGTATTATTTTGATACTAGGGATGAAACCTAGGAACACTTTACCATATGCTATATCCTCAGCCCTTCTGATTTTTATTTTGAGATTTGCTCAAGCTGGCCTTGAATTTGCAATCCTCTTTCCTCAGCCTCCTAAGTAGTTGGGATTATAGGAATATACAAAGTAATAGGGGTGTATTATTACTGAGATACATCTCAGAACATTAATTTTCATATTGAGACAGGGTCTCACTAAATTGCAGAGGCTGGCCTCAAACTTGTGAAACTCCTGCCCCAGACTCCCAAGTCACTGGAAGTACAGGAGTGTGCCACCATGCCCAGCAAAGGCTGTTTTTTTTTTAGGGGGGTGTTGGTACTAGGGATTGAATCCAAGGATGCTATATTACCAAGCCACATCCCCAGTCCTTTTTTATGTTTTATTTAGAGCAGGGTCCTGGTGAGTTACTTAGGGCCTCACTAAGTTGCTGAGGCCGAGTTTGAATTTACTATCCTCCTGCCTCAACCTCCTGAGTCGCTGGGATTATAGGCGTGCACCACTGTACCTTGCTAAGGCTGTTTTTCAAGTCTAATTTTTTAAGGTCTCTGACAAGAAAAAATCTGGCTATTCCAGGAATCACAGTGAAGAGAAACAGAGTGTAAGAATGTGGAAGGGCCATCTTGTTTTCTTCTCAACAAACAGAATGGAACTGACAAATTCAGACAATGTCAACATCTGCCTTAAGACCAGAGTAGTCTTCAAAGTTAAAGTTGATCAAGGATCTGTGAGGGCATTTTTGTCCCATAATGCTCTACTTTGAGTGCTTGTTTCACACACTGACTGAGGCCAAGCTCCCAGGCTCACCTCCTGCATTTGTGCCGAATGATGCTCCAGTTTGTCAATATGCTGCTGAAGCTTCAGGTTTTTATGCTCTTCCTCATCTAGCTTGACTTGAAGAGCATTCATTTGTTCCTGCAATACACAAATTTCAGTCCATTAAAACTCTTTTAATGGAATTCACATACCATCACCATTTCTTTTTAATTAAAGAGAAAAACAATCAAAAGTGAACAAGCCTAAAACTCCATAGGAATAAAGATAGCAAAGGTCTGTTTGAAGCCAGAAAACTTCAAAAGCCTATCCTGACAATTTCTGATTTCAGAATTACTCTTGTGTGCTCCATCAAAGTAGATAATTTAAACCCAAAGAACACAGGGATTAGAATTAAAACCTAGAGGCATCTTGAGACTGCTAAAAGCTTCCTCAGAGATGCATGGGACACTTCAGTAGGAAGACCTCAATGCCTTGGAAGGATCAAATTACTGGGATTCAAGGTGATCTAGTCCACTCCAGGTTTTACCGAACAGATTTTTTTTTTTTTAAATTTTCAAACCAGAATTCTGAAATAATCCAATTTCATAACTTATTACAAATATATGAAAAGCTGTCTAAAATTTGATTTATACTAAAATTCTGTGTCAAATATCTGAACTTTCTTTATCAGATAAACCACATAAATCAGTTTTGAAACTTGAAGCTTGCAATTATGGTCATTTTATACAAGGGAATCAAAAAGTCCATGGAGAATAGAGAATGATTTTCTGAAGACTGCAAAATGAATTAAAAGAACAAGAGTAGACTGGTTTCTAAGCTAGTGCCCTTTATACACTCACACTTAACACTACAAATTTCAGGGAGTTAAAAATGATAGACAAAATTATTTAACTGAATGTCTAATTATTTACCTTTTTAAAACCTAGAACATTACCTGCACTTTTTTAAGCTCTTCAGAAATGGCCTCAAAAGCTTGTTCATTCATCTCAGGTGGAACTGGTTCATTTAATATATCATTATCTAATATGCTAGAATTACACACAAAGCTCCCCATATCAGGGCTTAATTTTGGTACTAATCGAGAACGAAGTTGATAAGCCTTGGTTGGTGTAGTTATAATCTGAAAAACAAAAAGATTATGGAAAACAATATTAGTACACATGAAAAAAATAGCATATTTAGTAATTTTATGAAGAGAGAAGACAAAAATTAAAGCCTGTAATTCCAGCTACTCAGAGGTTAATGCAGGAAGTTCACAGGTTCAAGGCCAGGCTGGATAACTTAGTGACACCCTGTCTCAAGATGAAAAAATAAGAAGGGCTAGAGGGCTGGGGATGTGGCTCAAGCGGTAGCGCGCTCGCCTGGCATGCGTGCGGCCCAAGTTTGATCCTCAGCACCACATACCAACAAAGATGTTGTGTCCGCCGAGAACTAAAAAAAAATAAATATTAAAAAAAAAATTCTCTCTATCTCTCTCTCTCCTCTCTCACTCTCTCTTTAAAAAAAAAAAAAATAAGAAGAAGGGCTAGAAATACAGCTGAGTGATCGAGTGTACCCAGCTTCAATTTCTAGTATTAAGAAAAAAAATGAAATCTATTCAAAAGAAAGGAAAAAGTGTCCCTGAAGAAATAGAAGACATGACTAAATAGAAATAATTTTTTAAAATATTTTTTAGTTGTCAATGGATCTTTTATTTTATTTATTTATATGCGATGCTAAGGATGGAACCTAGGGCCTCACACATTCCAGGCAAGTGCTCTACCACTGAGCCACAACCCCAGCCCTAAATAGAAATAATTCTATCAATTCAATACAGTTCCAAGCAAAATTCTAATAAGGTTTTAAAAAATGAAACTTGGTAAATTGATATCCAACTTTGTATAAAGAATAAATGTACAAGACACACTTCTCATCCAATATAAAGTCACATTATAAACAGGGTATAATTATTAAAACAGTAATTTAGCATGTTATAGTCAAAAATTGGAAAAACATACAAAGTCCACAAACAGAATGATTTATGTGTAGAGATTTCAAATTAGTGAGAAAAACATGGATTTTTTAAAAATTTAAATCTTTCTACTACCATTCAAAAATAAAATAAAAGGTATACAAAGATCTCAATGTAAAAAAAAAAAGATAAAAGGTCAATAAGCCTGGATGCATCAAAAATGAAAAACTACCGTGTAACAAAAATATCACATGCAAAGATGAAAGACAACACCATGGCCAAATATATTGACAATGTATGTAAGAAACAAAAGATTAATATATAAAAATGCCAACAAATTCCAAGAAAAAGATAAACTACCAATAGAAAATGGGCTTTTTTTTTCCCTACAGAGAAGGATAATACAAATGGACATGAACATATGAAAAGTGGGAACTAAAACCTTAAAAAAGATCCTGATTTTCATACATGAGATTGTAAGAATTAAAGAGTCTGATGATGTCCATTAGTGGGATGGTGTTCTTCTACCAAGAGGCAATTGGTGCTACCCCAGAGGCAGCTCGAGCAGGCCTGGCTCATTTCTAACACAACCACTTTTCCAATCCCAGAGAATGTGTGTCCTTGGAAACCACCTAGAGTCATGAGTCATCCAAAATGTGGACGTGTAGGTTTAAAGTGAGGTAGCACTCTGGGTACTAGTTAATATAGAAAGATCCAAGGCATACGTTGGACTTACTTAACTAAAGCATATTGTAGAATAACATATGCAAATTGACTTCAAGTTTTTTAAAATAGCAAAATAAAAACAACTATAAAACAACTCTACATGTTTTCTCAGTCCATGCATATTTGCTGTACAAACACCAAGAAAAAGGATTAAATTAATTCCAGGAGTATGAGATAAAGGACCAGATTGAAGTAGACTGGCAATGGTGCTCCAAAAGAACTTTTAACATTAACTTGTAGTTTTAAACCATGAGAATGTATTCATAAAGTTACTGATATGATTTAAAATAAACAACAACCAAAGATCTGAATTGCTATGCCACTCTTCCCTCAACAATTCTACTGTGCTAAGGAGCCACCAAGGATTATAAAACAATTGATAATATTCTTTAATATTTTATTTCCTGCAAAGAATTCAAAGGTCATTTGTAAAAATTTTTTTTGTTTTAGTTGTAGATGAACACAATCTCTTTATTTATTTATTTTTATGTGGTGCTGAGGATCAAACCCAGTACCTCACATGCGAGCGAGGCAAGTGCTCTATCATTAAGCTGCAACTCCATCCCTCCAAAGGTCATTTAAAATAAAAAAAGCAAAGATAAAATTCTAACTTTGTAAAGAAAATAGGATTTTGTACGTTAAATGAATCATGATATATCCATATAATGGATTCTTTTGCAGCTACCCAAACAAAAAAGCAAAAAACCAAAAAAACAAAAACAAACAAACAAACAAAAAAAACCAAGAATGACAAAGTTCTTTTTCCCCTTCTGACCTGGGACAAACTCTTATATAGTCCTCCCCCACAAATTCCTTACTGTCAGATGCTTGCACATTTTTTCTTTTATGAGGAGAAATTATTAGAGGACCCCATCCCCCATTATTTCCAAGTATTATGTGTGATAATTATATGAGTACTTTATGAACATATTCTCCTAGTTTAGTGTTCTTTGCACACATTACATTACAGCAATGGCTGCCATTTATTGAGATCTAGAGGACTAGGCTCTTTATCAATAATGTTACTACTCTAAAAACCCTTCATCTGGGGTGGGGATGTGGCTCAAGCGGTAGCGCGCTCTCCTGGCATGTGTGCGGCCCAGGTTCGAGCCTCAGCACCACTTACAGACAAAGATGTTGTGTCCGCCGAAAACTAAAAAATAAATATTAAAAAAATTAAAAAAAAAAAAAGAAAAACAAAACCCTTCATCCTCAGTTCAGAGGAAAGAAAGGTGGGGCTAAGAAGTTAGAAAACCCTGCCTAAGGTTAATGGCTGGTGAGAATTTGATCCCAAATGTTGTATTCTTTGTATTCTTTGCTCCCTGGCCCTACTACTGGAGGTATACATAAGAACACCAGTCAGTGTGACCCTGAGGTTAACCTCTGTGAAGGATGCCACCTGTATGTCTGGAGATAGACCATGCAGACTCTCTCCATTATGAATACAAAAGAGGGGCTAGGCTTATGCTCATGGCAGAGCCTTGCCTTGCACATATGAGGCACTGGGTTTAATCCTCAGCACCACATACAAATAAATAAAATAAAATAAAGATATTGTGTCCATCTTTAAAAAAATCTTAAAAAAAAAATACAAAAGAGATAAGCACTAACTTAACACGGGACCGCTGCTTCAGATAACCTACCTTAAGTGTTTCAGCATGAATTTTATTCAGTTGAGAAACTTCTTGTCGCTTGCAGGCTTTTGTTGCGTCCAAAAGGCTTTCAAGATTAAGGTTTGCTTTCTGCAAAGCCTGAAGCTCTGATTCCAATTCTAGCTGCCTTTTCCTAATAGATATTGTAAAACAGTACATCAGGTTAATAAGCAAGTCAAACACTTGTAAAGTACTTTATAGTTTATACTATAAATATAAATCAGAAATATTCTCTCAGGATCATTACCTTCATTTTCCAGCTGGGTAATATACTCAGGGACTCAAAAATGTTCAAAGAACTCAACTACTAAATAGTAGAGCTCAAATTCAAGGGCCTAAGTAGTCCATGACGATGATGACAACATAAGTGATGTCATTTTAAAAGCAAACTGTTCTTTATAATTTAGATAGGATTCATCTTAATTTATATCAATGTGAATTGTCTTGTTTTTCTTTTATACAATGAGTATCAAGAATACTAACAAACCCAGAACTTTTAAAAATCTAGATTCAATTAATAACTATAAATTTGGTTATAAAATAAAGAATTTACTCAGCAAGTTCAATTGACAATATATTGAATAAAACATTTATCATTTAGTTCATTAGATACACCATAAAAAAAAGACAAAAAGCCCTTTTTCTTTGTGTCAAAACAAGTTAGGTGCTAATAATAAGAATTTAATATTTAAAGTAAAATGCCCATTTAAATTGTGAATATTAACATTACCACAAATCAATACTAGAACAGGCAAGCACACATATGTAGTCACACTTTACCGAGTTAGTTCTTTGAATTCTTCATATTCTTGCTTTGAGTTATTCAGCTCTGTCTGAATTTGCAGGAGTTGTGCTTTTAATTTCTCAGTGTTTGCGAATGAACTTGGTTCTTTTGGAGCTTTGGGAGAAAAGCCTTGCTGACCTGATAATAAAGAAACAATCTTGGTCTTTGAAAGACAAACATAACAAAACACATTTGCTAAGTACTCGGCCACATACCATTTTTTTTTTTTTTTTAAAGAGAGAGAGAGAGAGAGAGAGAGAGAGAGAGAGAGAATGAGAATGAGAATTTTTAAATATTTTTTAGTTTTTTCGGCGGGCATAACATCTTTGTTGGTATGTGGTGCTGAGGATCAAACCCGGGCCGCACGCATGCCAGGCTAGCGCGCTACCGCTTGAGCCACATCCCCAGCCCCCACACATACCAATTTTGAGGCATAAAGAGGATAGATAAGAAATGGGTTGGGAGGTGGGCCCTCAAAGATGAGTCTACATCTCTGCAGGAAATATAGGATGCAACAGTGTCTACAAGAATTAGGAGGAGACATATTCAAGCAGCAGAGAGGTCCACAGGGTGGAGAAGCACAGCTAAGACAACACCTTTTCCATGAAGAAAAAGAGCTAATGATGACTGACATGCATCATGTTAACACTGGAAAGAGAATCACATGTTAAACTTGCAGGAATTAGTGCTAGCAGCTTGTCTGAACGGTCAATGTATTATTTAGAAAAGAAAATGAATAACAAGAGCAGCAAGCTGAAAGAACTTGGTATCATCTACCAGGTAGAATATGTTAATTTTCAAAATTTGCTTAGAAAACTGATTAGAGAGTACACTGAGCTCCAGCACAGAAAAATATAAAAGTTGCTTGCAGGGGCTGTTGTTGTGGTAGAGCGGTAGAGTTCTCGCATAGCACATGGGAGACCCTGGGTTCAATCCTCAGCATCACATAAATAAAATAAAGGTATTGTGTCCAATTACAACTAAAAAATAAATATTTTAAAAAACAGTTGCTTGCAGAATGGTAGCTGCTTATAAGGTCCCAGAAATTACCATTAGTATCTATCAAATGTGTAAGTTAAGATTCCATTGAGGCCCAAATCGCCAACCAAATACGGAGCCTTGTAGGGAAAATTAACTGAAACAAAACCAAAAACTTAACTTTACATCTAAGATTTTAAGTCTCTCTACAACTCAAATACTGTGAATCTTCTTCTGTTAGGTTATAATGGAATAGAAGGCAGCTTAGGAAAGGAAAATTTAGAAAACAAGGAGAAAGAGCTGGGGATGAAGCTCAGTGGCAGTGCACACTTATCATTCATGGGGTCCTGTGTTCAATCCCCAGCCCAAAAGAAAGATAAAAAACGAGGAGATAAACTTCTCCATGAATGCAGAATGAAAGATTAGAATTTCCTCAACCTAAAAAAAAGGAAGGTGGAGGCTGAGTGTGATAAAAGACCATGAAAATACCAATTCTAAAGGGGCAAATAAACTTTATCATCAAATTCCAGGACATTAACACCAAGAGCTGCCAAACCTGTAAGTCAGATTTAGTACCAACTAAACCACTTTTCAGAGTACAAGTAAACTCCTGGGAATAATGTGTCACTCATAATATATTCATTGTTACCACAATATCAGGACCAAACCACTGTTTGGTGGATCATGAGTGTGACACCCATCTACACTGGATAAACTTTAGCCAGACTGACAAACATTTCAACTATTTGAAATTTAAACTGGAAAATTCTTTTGAATAAAAATTAAGTGATATCCAAATAGTTTTTACTTTTATCAGTAAAACAAGATAAATACAATGGGTGTTTCCTTGCTATGTCTATCAATCTATGTAAATTACTATGATCTTTGAGAAAAAAAATTAGTAAATTTATTTTTATAACATTAAAGAATAAGTATGTGAATAAAAAAATTTGCAGGGGCTGCGTTTTTGGCTCAGTGGTAGTGCACTCGTCTGGCATGTGTGAGGCACTGGGTTCGATCCTCAGCACCACATAAAAATAAGTAAGTAAATAAATAAAGTTATAAAACAAATTGGCATATCAGGTCTGGAGGCTAAAAATGAAGATCCTAATTGCAAGGCACTACAAATACTCTTTAAAACAGTTTCTTGAACGAGGCAGAGTGGTATATGCCTGTAATACCAGGCTCGGAAGGTTGAGGCAGGAGGATCAAAGCCAGCCTCAGCAAAAGAGAGGCACTAAGCAACTCAGTGAGACCCTGTCTCTAAATCTATAAATAAAATATAGAATAGGGCTGGGGATGTGGCTCAGCGGTTGAGTGCCCCTGAGTTCAATTCCTGATACCCCTGCCCCCCCCCCCCCCCCAATGGTTAAATCAACACAGCCTCTTAAAGCTGGGAATGGTGGCACACACCTGTAATCTCAGCAACTCAAGAGGCTGAGGCAAGAGGACCCCAAGGTTGAGGACAGCTTCAGCAACTCAGAGAGGTCCTAAGCAACATAGTAAGGCCCTGTCTCAAAATAAAAAATAGAAAAGGACTGGGGATGTTTCTCAGTGATAGGACAAACCAGGGTTCCATCTTCACTACCAAAACAAATAAAAACAGCCCCTTCTTACAACTATAATTTCTTACAGTTGTTGTTTTTCTCTATGCCAGATATTTCAGAGAAAGCTTTCTCTAGTTTTGCAATGGTCTGGGCATCCATTTCTTGGGCTCTTTTCACAGGCTCTAATAATCTCAGTCTTCTATTCTCTTCCCTGAGGGAATGATTTTCCATAGCATATTTTGCAACTCCAGGGTGGTGCTCTATCTGTCACACAGAAGAATCACACATTAAATATTTAAACATTTCCTTACTAGTCTTTCTAAAAAGCCATGAGAAAACTAAGGAACACTGATGCAATATTGGTTGTACTCTAATGCAACCATTGTGGAAAGCAACTTGGCATTTGTGATTACACTGAAATATGCATCACCTACTCCTCTATTTGTGCTAAGTTTCTTAAAACCCTCACCTGTGCACCTAGGGAGATACAGCAGGGAGTATACAATGTGGCAGACTCTTCCACAAAAGAAAATGGTTAAATTAACACACCAGAAAAAATAAAGAGACTTTCCGTTGACCAAGATACATTAACTGAAAGAGGCAAAGGGCAGAAACATATATGAAAGTAAAAATGCCCATGCGTTTAAACATGCATTGAAAACCCTGGAGAGTGGCCAGGTGCAGGGACACACCCTGTAAATCCAGCAATCCAGAAGGCTAAGGCAGGGGGATCACAAGTTTGAGGCCAGCCTGGGCAATTTACTGAGACCCTGACTCAAAATTAAAAAATGAAAAGGGCTGGAGACACAGCTCAGTGGTAGGGTGCTTGCCTAAGGCCCTGGGTCCCAAACCCAATATCACACACACACAAAAAAACCCTCTGGAAAGCGACACAGAGTTGATAACAGATTACTGTGGGGTTTTTTTGTTGTTGTTTTTGTTTTCAAAACTAGATGTCTTTGTTACCTCCTGAGGGAAAGGGGAAAAAGAACTAAATATCAAAAGGCTCAACTCTAAAGAGACTACTGATTCAGATAATCACAAGGACCCACAGGGTGAAAATCTACTTGGCCGGCTAGCATTGAGTGCTATATGGCAATATCACTAGGAAGCCTTCTTTCTCTTTGAGTGTAACTATTCTGGGAAAGGGAGGAAAATGAATTATGTAAATCATACAATCAGTTGAATTCATTTAAAACAATTTCTATTGTTTTAAAGAGCAAGTATTTGGTGACAAACATATTTGCTTTGAACTTTCTTTATTCTTAAAGATACACACACACACACACACACACACACACACACACACACACACACACACAAGCGCGCGCGCCCTATGGACTCACTTGTTCTCGGAGTGTCTGGATCTCATCCCTTAATTCTGAGAGTAAGCGACACTGTTCCTCAGGCAGAAAACTTCCCCGGGATTCCTTGTGGAGCTTCTCTAGCCGCATGATTTGATCCTCTCGGAATTTCACAATCATTTTATTCGATTGAATAAATTTTTCCTTTTTGAGGGTGAGATCTTCTAATTGGGTAATTCTTTCTACCAGAGACTTAAAGACATTAGTTGTTTGGTTAATCACAAAAAATAAGTCAGTCTTCCTAAATTTTCATAAACCCAGAAACAAATACTAAATTTAAATTTAATCCTAAAGGCAAAAGTAGATTTTCACAGCCTTCATTTACTTTCTTTATTAATCTGGTGCTATTCATTTTATTGCAATAAAAACCTCACTGTGAAAGCCTGAAATAACTTAAATCCCTTTTATCCTAATTCAGTTTCCTACCTTCTTTTCCTGTTCAGATTTCTTAAAGAATACCATTGCCTCCTGGAAATACTTCATGTAATCAGTCTTTTCTTTATCTGTAATTGACAAAAGAAAAAAAAAATTCTCAAATTTTTAAAACTAAAAGATGAGTTTAACAGTCTTTGAATATTCTCAACTAATAGAATGATACTGTTGTCACTGGATCATGAATTTCAAATTAAACTACTCAATATATTAGCTGTTTTTTGAAGAAAAATGAGCTTTTCTTTATTTAGTCAAAATATATAGTGTATGATATATAGAAATAGAAATGGATCTAAAAAATTTGGGGGGAGTACTAGGGTGCAGTGTGCCTGCTAGGATTTAATTTTCTCTCGTTTATAGATTTCAAATGAATTCACTTTCTAGTAACTATACTTTGGAGAAAAGTGCCTCCTATTGTACTTAATAAACATGTAGATTATTATGTAGATCCTATGACAGAATACTGGAAGTGACCTAAATGAAATCAGTCTCTCCTTTTAGCAGTTATTAAGGATGAATTATTCAAAATGATTTTAATTCCTTCTCCCTGCATCTCACAGAACTCAGTGTCTTTGGCTCCTGTGTCTGGTTACAGGGTACTATGCTCCTATGGAAGTGATATACATAGAAAGGGCTAAATGAACAGAGGAGATAGTCGTGGGAACTTCTGGGAAGCCTATCTAGCAGCAGGGGGCTCTTGAACTAATATTCACACTTGTCTTTCCCAGGATGGTCCTGCTGTGTTCATCCTACCTCTAGTCAGAAGGCTTTCTGGAAGTGTCTGCCCGGAAGAAAGCTGGGCCAGTTGTTCTTTGAGCCTCTTCACTTCAGCTTGGAGCTGGCTCACATTTCCTTGCGTGTCTTCATTTACCACTGCCTGTTCAAGAATTAAGAGATCACTCTTTTCAGTTGTACAGTCCAGAGTTTGCATTTTTTTGGTATGGAGTGATAAACAGCCAACAAAACTGTGCTTCCATTTCATGAATGATCAGAAGGCCACCAGAATCAAAGTGTCCTAGAGTGGGAAGGAAACTTCCTTCTCTGTGCCTTTATACCTCGAGCTAGAGATGGACCAGCACCAGCCAGGCTCTCTTCTCCCTCACCACTCCCCTCCAGACTCCCACTTATGTATTGCTCTTTGACCAGCCCCAGGCTCTGTCTGGATCATCCTTCAGATCTGAGTGTTCCCTAATACTTCCTTCCCCCTGAGGAGGACAGACTTCACCCCCTTCCCCAGTGGAGAAAAGCAAACACTTCAATTGGTGCCATCCCCCACTCACCCCATCCCACCCCACCATCCTAACTCCCTATGAAGAAGAAACCTAGCCTGTGGGGCTAGGGTTGTGGCTCAGCAGTAGAGACTCATCTTGTTGGTGCAAGACCCTAGGTTCAATCCTCAGCGCTACATACAAATAAATGAATAAAATAAAGGTATAAAAAAAGAAAACAAAAAGAAACCTAGCCTGTAAGTGCCATGATGACCCTCAGGGCTGGCCCAAGCTCCCTTGGCTTGGCAGAAGCAAGCCTCTCCAGAGGAATCCCACCCTGTATTTTCTAACAGCCCTCCTGAAAGGAAGAGTTGGTTTCACAGTTCCATTTTGTGTTTTCAACACACTAAATGATATCTTTCTTTTCTACCTGTATGTGTATGTGTTGCCAGGGATCGAACCCAGGGCCTTGTGCATGCTGAGGAAGCACCCTACAACTGTGCTAGATCCCCAGCCCAGTACCTTCATTTTCTTAAAGAAATTCTTGTTTAAAACAAACACTAAGAAGTTAAAAATGGGGGCTGGGGTTGTGGCTCAGTGGTAAAGCACTTGCCTTGCATGTGTGAGGCACTGGGTTCAATCCTCAGTACCACATAAAAATAAATATAATAAAGGTATCATATCCATTTACAACCAAAAATAAAAATAAAAAGTTAAAAATGTTCACAAACAAATATACCACTGTGACATAGGATGTTAATAGTGAGGAAGGTGTTAACATGTGTGGGGACAGGGAGTATATGGGATGTTTCTGTACTTTCTGTTCAATTTTGCTGTGGACCTAGAACTGCCACAAAAATAGTTTTTGTTAATTAAAAAATTATATATTTTTAGAAAAGGCTCACAAAAGCAACAGGGTGATAAGTGCCAACAACTGAGTACCAACCAGGTCAAAGGACTCAGTTGTGAAATGCCCAATACCTCAGTGAGGAAAAACTCTCTGCCAGCCCCACAGTTCCCTCTGCTCTTGATGTAGGAAGAGCCCAGTCACTCAGAAAGATTTAAATGGCTCAATCTTAATAAGTAGCAGATGCCCTAGCACTTTCCACTGGTAGGAAGGTCAGGGGACTTACCATTGATAGAGACTAGTATAGAGCTCCTAGTTTTGTTGTTTTGTGTGTGTTAAGAAGCCATATCCAATTGTGCCTGACTCTTATGGCCAGCCTCATTATGAGGTACTTTTGACATCATCATCACATCAGTGACACCATAATTTCAATTATCACTGCAGTTCTATTTTCTCCAGACTTCTAGAAGTCCCAAGAGATGAGGCCAGAAAGCTCTAATTGTTTCTCCTCTTCATATTGCTAATATTCATATTAGTATGGAGTCATAATCCAAAGAAATATAACAAAGCACTATATCTGTACTCTTCTGATCTAGCTGGGAGAAGGAGAAACACAAACCACTTTTGACTAATCACGATCAGATAATCAGGGAATCTTCTTGGGGGTTTAGCATGAACAGTTTCACCCTTGAAGGAGAAATAAAATTAATCTACCAATTTAGAGCACAATTTCTAAAACCAAAGAGATCTTCAACTTCTCCAAAATAAGTGGGGGACTTCTTGGTCTTTAATGATCTGCAGAAGGCAAAGTGTTGTTTGTGGGCAAAATACAGTCCACTATCTTCTGCAGATGAAGCTATACTGGAGCTTGGCTGCTCCCATTTGCTAATACACTGTCTATGGCTGTTTTCTCACTACAAAGGCAGAGACAGGCAGAGATGAGTAGTTGGAACAGAGTTCATGTGGTCCAAAAGCAAACAGTGACTACCTGTTTTTTTAAGGAACATCATTTCTTTAATATATCTTTATTTTTATTTTATGTGGTGCTGAGGATCGATCCCAGTTCCTCATGCATGCCAGGCAAGCGCGCTACCACTTGAGCCACATCCCCAGCCCTACTTGACTCTTACAAGAAAAGATTTCTGACCCTACATGTAATAACAACATTAAAGAAGCTTCTTGTATATAAAATGAAATGCAGACTCCCTGGAAATAGAGACAACTTGAAAGACCAACTTTATCAATGTTACAAATTTCTTTCATAGCATACTTTCACCTTTGTACCCATCAGCTCTGCTATCATTGTTTAGGCAAATAAATTTAGTCTGTATCCCAATTACAAAGGAAAACTTTACATAAAGAAAAAACTAGCAAAACAATTAACAACCATAAGATCTACCCTAGGTCTTGAATGGCTAGAGAAAATAAAATGGAAGAGCTGGGGGTATGTATAGCTCAGTGGTAGAGTGCTTGCCTAGCAGGTGTGAGACCCTGGGTTTAATCACCAGTAATACCAAAAAAAAAAAAAAAAAAAAAAGAAAAGAAAAGAAAACAATATATAGAAATCTTACATATAGTTAAGATAAACTTTCACAGAGAAATAGATAACAATTAACCGTAATATTAGGGAAGGAGCTGGGGATATAGCTCAGTTGGTGGAGTGCTTGCCTCTGTATGCATAAGGCCCTGGATTCAATCCCCAGAACCCCCCCAAAAAAGAGTAATATTAGGGCAATCATAAACTGTATATTTTAAACTTAAGTCTTTTTCTAATTTACTAAATACATTGAAGTATCTTACCTTGTTTTTAATCAGCTTGGCTCTTTGAGCAAAATTAAGTGTTGACAGGGTTTCCCCAAAACACCTGGATCCGGGATGAACATTTACAATTATGGCTGTTTTGGCATTACCACCAAGAGAATCCTGTTCCATGACATAAATGGTATATGTTTTTATGTGAGAAATCACAAAATCTTTTCAAGCAAAATAAAGAAAGAAAAACAAAAAGGCACAATCTTTCTACCAAGACTGAGAGATGTCCCACTATCACCCTTAGTAAGCACAATCAAAAGAATGCAGGGACCCAATAATCTACTTTACCCGAAGCAAGAAGGTAAGTTTGGAGTCTCTGTAGCACACGTGTCTTTGTTTTCCATTACCCACATCAACAAGTGCGGTAATCACTTGGCCTAGGCAGCTCAATGATCGGTTTATATTACCTGCTTCCTAAGGTGTTGGGAAAAAATAACAAAAATTTAGATATAAGTGACTTTCTAAATTAAAATAGATCTAATAGAGTGACAATTTTGGATGGAAAGGCAAGTTGGAGACTATTAATTAATAATAATGGACTTTTCAGCTAAAATTCAGTATGATCAATTATCCCATAATAGTTTTTTTTTTTTTTTTTTTTTTAAAGAGAGAGTGAGAGAGGAGAGAGAGAGTGAGAGAGAGAGAATTTTTTAACATTTATTTTTTAGTTCTTGGCGGACACAACATCTTTGTTGGTATGTGGTGCTGAGGATCGAACCTGGGCCGCACGCATGCCAGGCGAGCGCGCTACCGCTTGAGCCACATCCCCAGCCCCCCATAATAGTTTTCTATTTGATGCACACTGCAGCATTAGAATGGTATAAAAGCAATGCACATTCAGTAGAAGCTGCACTTCAACTTTAAAATTTTTTTAAAGTATTTTTTTGGTTGTAGATGGACCCAATACATTTATTTCATTTTTATGTGGTGCTGAGGATCCAACCCAGTGCCTCACATGAACTAGGCAAGTGTTCTACCACTGAGTTACAACCCTAGCCTTCAACTTCCGAATTTTGATCTTTCTGCAGGTCAGCCAACATTCTCAGGATAGTAGGAAGCAGTAGCAAGTCACAGCTCCCAGCTGACCTCAAGATCTTGAGGAGGAATGACCATGACACTATCAATTACTCTATTGCTGAAATATGATGTTCAGTAGAGTAGATATATTTGGTGCATTTTAAACTTCATGATATTTTCAACTTACAATGGATGTACTGGCATGTAACCCTACTCTAAGCAGCATCTGTATAAACATGTTATTTTATTATGCATCATATATCAATAGAAACATGAGCCTTAGATTGCCAGAAACTACATGAGAACTCAGGAGGCTCAAGCCTCACTTTTTTTTGTAAGATTTTTTAAAAAATATATTTTTAGTTCTGGTTGGACACAATACCTTGATTTTATTTATTTATTTTTATGTGGTGTTGAGGATCAAAGCCAGCACCTCACACATGCTAGACAAGCGCTCCATCCCTGAGCCACAACCCCAGCCCCCTCAAGCCTCACTTTTAATGCAAAAAGAAGATCTCTCCTCTGCCATTTCTGATACCTCTAATATATATCTTAAACTATAGAATCCACACATATTTTAATGATGATCACATTACAATTATTCTATCAATATACATTACACAGAACCTCTGGTACCATTGCTAGTACCTTAGCCTAGGCCTAGGCCCTCAATTCTGTACACTTGAAATATTAAACAATATAATCAGTCTCCTTTCTCTTTAGGCTCTCCCCTCTTCATCTTGGCAGTGGTAGGTCAGAGGGTCCAAGTTTTTCATAAAATAGGCTTTCTTCATGAAATCACTCATTTCTTCAAAACTTTTATTTCCCAGTATTTGGAAAGTTGAGTACAAACTTGGCCTGGCACTCCTGTCCTCAGTGATCTGGCCTACTTGCCTCTCTAACCCACCCTCCTGTAAGAGTAAAAGAAATTGAAGTTAAAGTGTAAAAGACCGGGAATTGTAAAGTTTCTAAGCTGCAAGGCCTGAGTTAAAAAGTGAAGGACCGGGTATTGTTAAGTTCCTCTGCTACACCCAAAACCTGAAATTCCTGTAGCTGTTAGGACAATACCCGGAACTGCCCAGTAAATATTCCCCCTGACCCTCTGGTTGTTTAATAACCTAGGACCCTGTGTAGCCTGGCACGTAGGCATTCAGGGCCCAAACCAATCAGTTTGAATGTGTACCCCACTTAGGAATGACCAATCACCCCCGCCCAACCTGTTCCCGCCAATGAATGTGCTAATCATGTCTCAGAGTTGTTGTTCAATTTTCCCGTGCCTCATGATGATTTGTTCTGATGTATGCAAAGTCCCCGCCCTCCCCCAAAAGTGTACTTAAGCACTGCTCAACCCCTGCCCAGGGCTCTGGGTTGCTCTCCCTTCTTGAGTGAGCACAGAGCCCCAGCATGCTGGAACGGATCCTCAATAAATCCCCTTCTGCAATTGCATGAGTCAGTCTCTTGGTGGTCTCTTCCTCCGACGTTTCGCGGGACCCTTACACTCCCATGCCAAAATGCCAAATGCCATACTCATTCTGCACATATACAATAAGCTTTGATTTGTCACCCAACTGGGCATGTATTTCCTGTTCCTCCCTCCCTACCCAAACCCTGTCCCTGTTTGAGATGACAACTTAAGAACTATTTCTTTTTCACATTTCCCCAAGGAATTCATTTCACATCCTTCTTTTTCTGTCCCCTGTTGATATACACTTCAACTTTAGAATAGTAGCAAAGCAATGCCTCCTTTATTTTTCCTTCTCTCTCTCCAGATATTTTTTCCATATTTTTTATTGGTACATTAGAGTTGTACACAATGGTGGAATTTGTTGTTATGTATTTGTATATGCACACAATACCTCTAGTACCATTATCCCCTCTAGAAAAAATTAAAACATTCTTGCCACTTGCCCTATCCCATTCACTTTCCCTACCTAATAAAAATCTGCTCCTTTTAGATAGGAGTAATTTTTTATTTCTTTGCAGCCCTCACAATACCTGGTGTGTACTGACTTCTGGTAAGAATTCACATATAGGTTGAAGACCATAATCTCATTCTTACCTTCAACCTCATCCCTTCTGCATGGGTATCTTTTTGCCTTTCAGATCCTGCTAAATCCACCAGGTTGAGTAGGGAGGTTCGTATATTCACAGTCTCATTGCTTTTTTCCATTGACTCTATTGTGATTGTAAAGACTGCGTGAGACCTAGAGGATTCTCTATTCATTGATGTTGATGCCACACGTCTGTTCCTCCATCCTCCAGACAACACCTAGGTAAGAGGAAAATGTATTATGAAAAGCCACAGCAGGCACACTTAAGACAAACTTAAAATAAGTACTGGAGAACCACTGATTTAACAAGAAAAATACTAATTTACAGTTATTTACTTTCACAACACTTACACAAAATATATTCTCCCTCTAGAGCAGAGGTGGGGAACACCTATTATGGTCTTTCCATTATCTAGCTTTGTAAGAGAAATTATATTTTCACAAATTTCAAGTGATACATGTTAGTCACCAAAATCAATAAAAAATCTGTAAAGTATGATAAGAAATATTACTGGCCCACCAAAGAACATACAAGTTATTTTTTTTTTCTCTCTCCATGTTACAAAAAAAAAAAAAAGAAGCAACAGGAAGTCAAAAGGCATAGTTCTAGAAGGGTTTTGCCATACTCTATCTGTATTATCTTAATATAAATCACAAAATCTCTCTGAACCCTTTTCTTTACAATAAGAATGTTGAAACAAAGGAAAAAAAAATTCTGAATTACCTTGAAACTCAGAGAGTTGTCCAGTCTTTTGTTTTGTTTTGTTTCTTCCTCCTCCATTCCCTTGGCCTGTAAAGTACCTATTTTCCCTTTCTATTCCCTTCCTATTCCCTACGGCAAGCAGGAATACACGAAGGTTCACACTGCAGGCTTTAGAGTCTGCGTGATGAGTTCAACCCTGGCTCTACTGTAGTGTGATCTGGAATCAGTTGAACCTTTTCAAGGCTCAGGCTTTATATTTTTAAAACAAGAACATGAGTGCCTACCCTTCAGGGCAGAAAATCTAAGTTCAACATGCTTATAATCACCTATGGAAAGGGAAATTAGAGGCTGATCTCAATTTTTCAAATTGATGGAAAAAAAATACTAAAAAAAGTTTAAAAATTGAATCTAGTCCTTTATCATGTTAACACTTGAAAGGAAAAAGAAAGCACATGATCATGGCAGTAGCAGAAAAAAGCATCTGAAAGAATTTAACATACATTTCTGATTTTGTAAGATAGTTAGCAAGGTAGCTAATTAAGTAAAAAGCATTCTATAAAAATCAACTGCACTTCTATTTACATAAAACAGAATATGTAATTTTAAAAAGAGATTATAAAAGCATCAAAAATTGTAAGGAATACTGTAATAAAGTTAATGAAAACTACATGACTTTTATGGTGAAAATTACTAAAATTAATATCACAAAACATTAAATCTAAATAAATGTTGATGTATGGACTGAATATTGTAAAGGTATCAATTACTCCAAGCTGGTCTACAACTGCAATGTAATCCAATCAAATCCCAACATGATTTTTTGCGAATGTATCTATATACATATTGAGCCACATGTAAAACCTACCTCTTACTGGTGGAATCTCAGTTTAAAAAGTTTGAGTCAAGAGACTTTTTGAAGGTAGAAAAACAAACTAGTAATGTTATATAGCAGTGAAAATAGATGCAATGCAACATAGATGCATTTCATAAACCATGTTGAGTTAAAAATTCATAGGAGGTTGAACATAAACCATTTTTTAAAACCCAAAAGGAAACAAAAGCAACATATAAATATATTTATTTATTTATTTATTTGTAGTTTAAAAGCAGAAGCAAATGATAATCACATCCAACAATATTTGGGGGAGTAGTCAGGGGATAGGGAGGAATACACCAACAAAAAGGATAATATTGGTGCTATATGAGTATTAAATTGTCTTGAATGTTCATTTTAAAATTAAACTTAGTAACTACATGCATGTTGCAATATTTTATATATATTAAATATTACAGTATAAAAATTACTTAACGTCTGTAAAATATGAGAATATTTTTATAAATTTCCATTGCTGGTTTGCCCTGAACCGAAGTTGGCTTTTGATGCTCAACTTGCAAGCAAAAATAGAAAGTAAGAAGTGAAGAGCTAGCTGCTTCACAGCCAGCATTCCCACAAGCTCCTTAAACTAGCAGCTCCCAGGCAGACTAACTTAAGAAACAGGGACACTAATGAATTGTCACCTGCAGGGTGTTTTTAAAGAGTACTTGATTAGAATAAATGTATCAAAATAATGCTAAATCAAGTGGCTCAGAGTTCTTTTTCACTAAATCCTGCCCTATTCTTTTTTCTTTTCATGAGCATTTTGCATCATGCCTCCATGAAATATTTTTAGCACTTCATTCTACTTTTTTGAGATCGGGGTGCTTTCACAGCATGTTTATTGCCTAAGCATCAAGTAAATACTCATGGAAGGGTACCTGATAGGCTTCAGCAGCAGAAGTGACCACCTGCTCCACTGCACCAACAACAAACACTCCCTTCTTGATGTGTTCCCGTAAGTGCAGTCCAGCTGAGGCAGAGTCCAGCAGGTCATAGATCTGCTCATTGTAGATCTCAATAAAGGAACACTTACACAGGAAACTTTTTCCAGCACCAGCCTATAAAAGAAGCCTCAGTTAGAGCTATTACTGTCATGTGTTCTTCCAGCTTTCACCAGCATTAATTTTGTAGTTGTTTGACAAGTTGTAAATTTCCTACACTATTAACCTTTAATAAAGATACTGAAAAGTCATTGGAAAAAATCTAGATAACTAGTCTCAATACATCGTAACATTTTAAAGCAGTATCAAAGTGTGATCCCAGGACCCTGGAGGTTTCCAGAGGAGTCTCAGAGCCAGCTTAGGGAGTAGGTCAATTGGGCAATTTCATTTTAGTCTGTTTTTTATTTTGGACTTTCTCATAAAGTTTTATTTGAAACAAGCATTATGTTCTTTAAAAGACTGAAAACAATTCATTTTAAAAGACTTTAGAATTTTTAACCACAGAAATGCATGTTGCTAAACTCAATTATTTTATTGGCATGTAATTTATTTGTCTAATTTAAATGTTATGGATCCTTTCTTTTCTTTTTCTCCTGTTTTTGGTGGTACTGTGAATTGAACTCAGGGGTTCACATCTCCTGCCCTTTTAAGTTTTTTTTTTTTTCTTTTTAAATTTTGAGACAGGGTCTTGCTAAGTTGCTGAGGCTGTGATCCTCCTGCCTTAGCTTCCAGAGTCACTGGAAGTATGCACCACTGTGCCAAGCTTGGGGATAGTTTCTGAAAAGCAGTAAGTGATAAACTGATATCAAATCACTTTCCTTGGTATACAGTAATGGAACATATAATACTAAGGGTTCTTAAGACTGAAATTTGCCAAGCCAAAGAGGAAGCACAGTCATAATAATGGCCCAACCTGGGAGCCAGCAAGAGAGGGAAGACCTCGTCTCCACATGATAAGAGGCGTATCACACACAGAGCAAGGAGATGGTGGTGAAGTGGAAACGGTGCTGCAAAGGAGGCAATGATGGACCCAATCACTAGTGATTTCAGGAGGATCTAGGGATACCAGAAAGCCCAGGTACAGGTAGATGACTGGGCTTAGTATATTCATGAATCTGTTTTCCTCAGTCAGGATATAGATATATATATATATATACATACACATATACTTTCTCTCTTTTACAAACTAAAAACTCAATTAAATTGAAAACAAAACCCCCAGAATCACTGATTTATCTTAAGAATTGAAAGCTTTTTCAATACCATACTTGCTGACACACATTGTAGAAGAGAGTACCATCCACACTCCTCTATGTATCCTGAGCTAATTATTAGCAGCTAACTACTCGAAACTAGACATTTCGTTGAATCATTTTATTTTTATAGTAAGTTTTACCTTCTCTTTTTCACGATCAATTAAGTAAAATAAATATTCAAAACTTCGTGGAATTACTCCTCTCAGGTTGTGAGAAAAATTATCAGATTCAGATGGTCCTAAAAAAAGTAAAACAAACAAAAGGCCTGAATTTCATTCTATTTTTTAAAATACATTTTTTAATCTTTATTTATTTTTTGTGGTGCTGAGTATTGAACCCAGGGCCTTGCACGTGCTAGGCGAGTGCTCTACCACTGAGCCACAACCCCAGCCCTGAATTTCATTCTATTACAAGAGTCCTTCAAGATGGGAACACTGAAAGGCAATTTACATAAAAATAAGATGATACAGTGTACAATCAATTTCCTACTTCTGCTCTGACCATTACACTTAAGCCTGTGAAAGACAGGATGCTAGAACCTGTCAATCAGTAGAACTGAAGGCCCAAAGCAGTCACCATCTGATTTTTTTTTTGTTGTTTCCTAAACAAACACAAAAATCCATCTAGGTATTAAGCTTGGAATTGTTCCAACTGCCATGTGCCAGAATCAGAAATTCCAACTAAATTTTACACAACCACAAGAATGGGAAGTTATACTCCATGTATGTATAATATGTCAAAATACATTCTACTGTCATGAAAGAATTAAAAGATATGAAAAAATACCAACTAATTCTAACTTATTTATTGCATGTGACATTTGGTTTCATGGATTGACCTATATTCTACAGCATAGCCCCACATTGTGAGCATAGGCTATTTAGTCTCTCCTAAACTTGAGTTTTCAACTATAAAATGGAGATAATAATGGAATATCTAACACATGGAACTGTCAGAATTAACTGAGTATAAAAGTAAAACACTTGGAGCAATGCTTTAAACCCTCTAAGTACTAAAAACTAGGAGTAGCTAGTATTGTTTAAATTGGGCAGTAAAAGCCAAGCTGGTAAGAAAGATAAAATAACAATATCTTATAAGATTTCTATCAGAAAGATAAACAGTCTTATCTCTACTTCCTTACACAAGAGGAAGGAGGAGAAACGAGTGGATGCCTAAGCAGAGATTTAGGAATCCTACCCCAGCTTATGATGTGATACATATTTCTTGGTTTTGTTTGACAGTCCTGGTTAAAAGGTCCTATAGTCCTTGTTATTTTCTAAGTGATTCGAGAAATAAGAATATCTTTTGTTAAAAAATTGGTCCTTTGTCTTTGGTCCCTGAAGCAGCTCTAGAGCAGCTTCAGAACAATAAAGGTAAAAGAGAATTTACTTACATTACAAGTCCTTTCAAAAATACATGAGTACTAGGGTTGTGGCTCAATCCTCAGCACCACATAAGAATAAATAAATAAACGAAGGTATTGTGTCCATCTACAACTTTAAAAAATTACATATTTTAAAAATTAAAAAAAAAAAAAAACAATGAGGTGATTTTTGGAAACTACAGGATGAGGGGTTGGTTGCAAGGCAACTAGCCATGTGCTCAGAGAGCCGAGATTTTCAGCTCTACCTCCCAGGCTCAGGGGAGGGGAGAGGGACTAAAGGTTAAGTTTTTCACCAATGGTCAATGCTTTAATCAATCATGTGTATGTAATGAGGACTGGATTCAAAGGAGCTTCAAGATAGCTGAATACAACACATTTTCTCGAAAGGTGAATAAGAATATATTCAAGCGCAGGGAGGGTGGTGCACCCCAACTCCACAGGGACAGAAGCTCCTGTTCTGGGGACCCTACTGGGCATTCCCTTATGTATTTCTTCATGAATTCTTCTAATTACATATCAGATCATTTGTATCCTTTAAACTATTCTCTATAGTAAGTTAATTAAAGGTGTTTCCCTGAGTTCTGTGAGTTATTCTAGAAAATTAATCAAACCAGAGGAGGGGGTTGTGGGAACTCCAGTTTATAGTTTGTCAGAAATATAAGCCACAGGGGCTGGGGATGTGGCTCAAGTGGTAGCGCGCTCGCCTGGCATGCGTGCGGCCCGGGTTCGATCCCCAGCACCACATACCAACAAAGATGTTGTGTCCGCCGAGAACTAGAAAATAAATATTAAAAATTCTCTCTCTCCTCTCTCACTCTCTCTTTAAAAAAAAAAAAAAGAAAAAGAAATATAAGCCACAAACTGGGGCAGGCAGGAAGTCTTGGGAACTGAGCCCTAAACCTATGAGATCTGACTTTATCTTCAAGTAGATAGTGTCAGAAATGAACTGGATTAGAGGACACTCAGCTGGTATCTGCTGCAGACCTGCTTGCTCACTTGCTGGTAGGGAGAAATTCTTAAACCTTTTAAAGTCACAGAAGTCTTCTGTGCGATTTTTTTTTTTTTTCTTTTCTTTAGTGGTGCTGGGGATTGAACCCAGGGCCTATGTATGCGAGGCAAGCACTCTACCAACTGAGCTATATCCCTAGCCCATGTTGATTGTTGTGGTGTGAAAGCAGAGGAAAAACAGCTTGGTTTTCCTATAGAGAACTATAGCAATATTTACCAGAAAAATATATAGCAAGGAAAGACCTAGACGTTACTATGAATTTTAGTTAAGTATACCTTAGAGACCAAAGAAACTAACAGAATCCAGGTATGCATAGGAATGGTACAGAGAACAATTTAAAAATCTTGTCCTGTGCAAGGCCTTATTGATTACACCTGGAATATTTACATGGTCCTTGTAAACTGTACTTTTAAGAAATGGATAATATTCTATCATTATGTACAACTATAATGCACCAATAAAAAATGTGGGAAAAAAAGCATAAAAGGGTAGAAAATGCAATTAAATGAGCAAAGAGAATAATATTAGAGCAGAAATCTTACACCATATTCTTGAACAGTATTTAAAGACCGTCAACATATCCTTGGGCACCTCTATCATCACTTGCCTAGAAGGAAATAGTTACTAATCCTGCTCCCTCTTGAACCCTTCCTCTTTATTCCATTGATACCTGAGTAATTCTTCTAATTATATATCAGATCATGCAATTCCTGTTTTAAAATAACCCTTCCAATAACTTCTCATCATACAACAAAATCTGAATTCCTCTCCAAGGCCCATGTGAATTGGCTGCAGGCTACTGCTCCAACTTCCCCTGCTACAAGCCCCTTGTTCTGGAAAACTCCACTCTGGCTGTAGGTGTCTGCTGCTCCTCACACTGTTGCCTATGTGCCCAACTCAGGGCCTGTGCAGTTGCTGTGCCTCTGCCTAGAAGTTTCTTCTCTGGATAGTCCCAGTACCCACTCTTATTTCAATTGTGACCTGAGAAGTTGTTCCTAACCATCCACCTAAAACAGCACCCTGTGCTCTTCTCTATCCCCCACACTGCTTTATTTCTCTTTATGGCACTTATAACCTCATCATACAACTTATAACCTCTGGAATAATTACTATACATTTATTTGTTTTTAATTGTACATATGTCCCACCACCACTCTGGAATATAAGCTCCACAAGAACCTGGACATGGCCTTGTATTCACAGAACAACAGTGCCTTGAAAAGTACCCAGCACATTGTAAGCACTCTAGTATTTGTTGTTCTTGTAACCTCAGAGAGGAAGAGCTTCCTTACAATAACTCACAATTCAGAAGCCACTGAAATTTAAAAAAAAAAAAAAAAACATGGAAAAGGGCTGGGGGGTTGTGGCTCAGTGGTTCAGCACGTGCCTAGCATGTGTGAGGCACTGAGTTCGATACCCAGCACCATAATAAAAAAAAATACACTGGCACCAAAACAGGCTGGTAGACCAATAGTACAGAATAGAGGACACAGAGACCAACCCACAAAATTACAACTACCTTATATTAGACAAAGGTGCTAAAAGCATGCAATGGAGAAAGGATAGCATCTTCAACAAATGGTGCTGGGAAAACTGGAAATCCATATGCAATAAAATGAAATTGAATCCCTATCTCTCACCATGTACAAAAGTTAACTCAAAATGGATTAAAGATCTAGGAATCAAACCAGAGACTCTGCGTCTAACAGAAGAAAAAGCAGGCCCTAATCTCCATCACGTTGGGGTTAGGCCCCAAATTCCTTAATAAGACACCTGTAGAACAAGAATTCAAACTAAAAAGTTTTTTCTCAGCAAGAGAAATAATATGTGAAGTGAATAGGGAGCCTACATCCTGGGAACAAATTTTTACCCCTCACACATCAGATAGAGAGCTGTAATCTCTAGGATATACAAAGAACTCAAAAGTTAAACAACAAAAAAACAAATAACCCAATCAACAAATGGGCCAAGGACCTGAACAGACACTTCTCAGAAGAGGATATACAATCAATCAACAAATACACGGAAAAAATGTTCAACATCGCTAGCAATCAGAGAAATGCAAATTAAAACTACTCTAAGATACCATCTCACTCCAGTAAGAATGGCAGCCATTATGAAGTCAAACAACAACAAGTGCTGGCAAGGATGCAAGGTGGGGTGGGGGGTACACTCATACATTGCTGGTGGGACTGCAAATTGGTGCAGCCAATTTGGAAAACAGTATGGAGATTCCTTGGAAAACTGGGAATGGAACCACCATTTGACCCAGCTATTCCTCTTTTTGGATTATACTCAAAAGACCTAAAAACGGCATACTACAGGGACACAGCCACATTAATGTTTATAGCAGCACAATTCACAATAACTAGACTGTGGAGCCAACCTAGATGCCCTTCAATGGATGAATGGATTAAAAAATGTGGCATTTATACACAATGGAATATTACTCAGCACTAAAAAATAACAAGATCATGGCATTTGCAGGGAAATGGATGGCATTAGAGCAGATTATGCTAAGTGAAGTTAGCCAATCCCAAAAAAACAAATGCCAAATGTCTTCTCTTATATAAGGGGGGTGACTCAAAATGGGGTAGGGAGGAAGAGCATGAGAAGAAAATTACCTCTAGATAGAGGTGGGAGGGAAAGGGAGGGAGAATGGGAATTGCATGGAAGAGGGAAGGAGACCCCCTTCGTTATGCAGAATATAGGTATGATGATGTGAGGGGGGAAAAAAAAAGAAGTGGGTCACATTAGATTGAATAGAGAGAAGTGATGGGAGGGGAGGGGAGGGGAAGCGGGGAATGGAAGGATAGCAGAATTAAATAGACATTATTATTGCTGTGGGTATATATGTGACTGCATGACCAATGTGATTCTGCAACCTGTACACTCAGAAAAATGAGAAATTATATCCCATCTGATTCAAATACATGGTATGTCAAGATCATTGTACTGTCATGTGTAACTAACAAATTTTAAAAAAAGACAAATGAAAGGGAAAAAATAATAATAAACAAGCAAATAAATAAAGGTATTTAAAAAAAAGCAGAAAAAAATAAATAACCTGAAATCTGACCACATAAAAATAAAAAGCATTAGCACAAGAAAAACAACAACAAAAACCTTAAGCAAGCAAAATACAATGTGAAAAACCTAGAGAAAAATCTAAAATTTTAAAAACAGTATCAAGTGTGTAAAGGGATGTGGAACAACTAGAAAGATCACTTTAAAAACTATTTGACAGGGGCTGGGATTGTGGCTCAGCGGTAGAGCGCTCGCCTAGCACATGCAAAGCCCTGGGTTCAATCCTCAGCACCACATAAAAATAAATAAATAAAATAAAGGTATTGTGTCCAACTACAACTAAAAAATAAAATATTTTTTTCTTTTTCTTTATTTGTTATAATTAGTTACATATGACAGTGCACTGATCTCGACATATCATACATTTGAATCAGATGAGATATAATTTCTAATTTTTCTGCGTGTACAGGTTGCAGAATTACATTGGTCATGCAGTCATAAAAAATAAATATTTAAAAAATAAAAAAGAAATAAAAACTATTTGACAGTGTCTACTAAAGCTAAGAATACATATATCCCATCATCCAGCAATTCTACTCCCTGATAAATATCCAACAAAACAACTTCAAAATGTGAATACAAGAAAAAATATTCAGAGCAGCATTGTATGGTCCCAAACTGGGACCAAATCCAAATGTTCATCAACAGTGAATGAAAAATTTGTAGCATATTCACACTATAATACACAGTAATGGAAATAAACTACTGCACCCAAAAAATAGAACAATGAAGGAGAAAATAACAGAAACAAAAGAACACATACAGCAAAATTTCATTTTTGAAACTTCAAAAAATAGGCAAATCTAATGATAAGAGCAGCAGTACTTAGGCATGGGGCTGGAGTAGTTACTAATTAGGACTCTTGATCTTGGTGATATAGTATAGAAATACATAAAATATTATTAAAGCCCATTAAAGGAAAACTGTTTACCCAACACCAAGTCTGTGCTAGGCATCGAACTAGGAAACATAACTGTGAACACAACTAAGTCATGAACTCTGCTATTCAGAAACTCATCATCTGGCCTAGGATATATCCCTAATTTTATGGGATCAACATCACATATAGAAATTATGCCTTCACCCAAAATGTATTACATGTTGTCATCACCAAAAGCATACATTAAGATAGCAAATATTAATCTTTAATTTACTTACCCATCATAGTAAATGTCTTCCCTGAGCCAGTCTGCCCACTGTGAAAAAGGTTTTATATATTAACACACAAAATTTAAAAGACTATCCTTCTAATTTTAATATGGTCTACTATTATATAAATTTTCACCACGAAAAGTTAGTCTTTCTATTTCTAAATTATATTAGATAAAACACAAATGATCTAGTTTCTTTCCCTCCAATTCCAGTACTAAGAACCAACCACTATCAATTATCTGGTAAATGCTTCTAGATAATATTCAGAATTTTCATTTACAAAAAGTGAGATTCATACAGTTCTGCAATCTGCTTTGCTCTTAATTTTAACTCAGATATCTAAGTCAGGGAATGATGTCTGTCCCATTGTTTTTAATAACCACATACTATTTAATGCATATGAAATCTTATAGCATAATTTATTTTACCAAAATTAATTAGACCATTGCTATTCTAAAAAATGCAAAAATTCCTTTCCTAAATGCTTTGTCTTAAGAAGATATTAAATGTCTTTGTTTAAAACTATGGCAATTTTAAAAACCATTATGTAATAATATAGGTTTTATTTTGTGCCCAGAATCCTATCTCCTTTGTTATGTCACTTAACAGAAACAACAAAAAACTAAAAATTAAAAACTTGTAAGTTAAAAATAAATGTCAATCATAGTGTCAAATGATTTTAGCTCAGATTTACAGCAAAAAAAAATGTAAAATTCTGCCAGGCACATCAGTGTACACCTGTAATCCCAGCTACTTGAGAAGCTGAGACAAAAGGCTTGCATGTTCGGAACCCGCCTCAGCAACTTAGCAAAACCATGTCTCAAAAATAAAATAGAAAAAGGGCTGGGGATGTAGCTCAGTATTACAGCAACCCTGAGTCCAATCCCAAGTATTGCAAAAGAAAGAGAAATAGAAAAAGAAAAACAAAGAAGAAGAAAAAAGGTGACAAAGAAAAAGAAAAGGGCTGAGTGATAGTGCCTCTGGGCTCAATTCTTAGTATTGCAAATAAAGAATAAATAATAAATAAAGTATTAAATTTTCTTTTTGGTCAAGTGTCCCCCAAAACCAGAAAAAAAGTATGTTCTAATTGTTATCTCCTAATTTTAGAAGTACGGAGGAAAGTTCTTTGGTAATTCAGAATGAGAAATGGATATTACTGAGTATTCTACAGCTAGAGTAACCCTATGAACTACTGTCCCAACAGGCACTTGAGAATGAAGGGCCTACCATTAACAATTACTCTAGAATTAGCACTGTCCTAGGCAAACCAGAAAGTATAATCACCCAACAAATAAATCACTCATTTCTAAGTGCTTCTTATTTCTACTCACAACTCCAAAGTGATTTTCATTAAGTTATTAGTGAGTATGTCATAAATTAAATATTATTAGTAGTATGGCTTACAGGATCCTCAAAGAAAAGAGTTGTGAAGATACACAATCTCTGCAATTGAGGCTATTTCAAAATCATTTTGAACTTCAACACTCCAAATACTCTATGGAAAAAGTCTTTAATCTCTGAGGAAGATACATCAGGAAACAGTTTTCAGCCTCATAGCTCAAAAGAGAACATTTAGTTCTGCTGACTACATGAAAAATAAACACAAAAAGCAAAGGCAAAGTGGAATATATGTGCAGAGTGAGTGCTAGGCTTTTAACTTCTTAATATATTCTTTATTTTCTTGTTTTTTGAGCAAGTTATAGAAGAACCAGGATACATAGAACAAAAACAAAACAAACCCCTTGTACCCAACAGCTGCTCAAAATGAATACAAAAATCAGTACATCTATTAAAACCTTCTAGTTCTACATAGATTTAGGAAAAAAAATAATCACACTATCATGACGCCTTCTGGACTTAAGCTATTATTCCAACATCAAGCCCGCTGCAACGTCTGCAGGCTGCCAACATTAGAAAAACAGGATCATTGTTCACTTCAGATATATACATGATTGAGTAGATATAAAATGCTACAGCCACTTTAAAATATAGTTTGGCAGTTTTTAATAAAGTTAATCATAGACTTACCATACGATCCAGAATTGGCATTCCTAAGTATTTACTCAAGTGATTTGAAAACTTATGTTCACACAAATACCAAATTTAAATGTTTATGGCAGCTTTATTCACAATCACTAAAAAAGGAACCCAGCAAGATGTCCTTTAAAGGGTGGAGGCATCAACAGACTGGCGTGTCCTCACATACAAAAAAAATACTATGCAGCAAAAAAAGAATAAACCATGAATGTAGACAACACAGACAAACCCAAAGGGCATTTACTAAGATTAAGAAGCCAGATTCAAAAGGTCACATATTGTGATTCAACCGATGACACACTGAAAAGGCAAACTATAGGAATGGAAAATACATGAGTATACCCTGGATGGCAAGGGTTGGGAGGAGCAGGGTGTGGCTGACCCCTAAGGAATTTGAAGGTGAAGGAACTCTGTGGTACTAACAGAAAACATCTGATACCATGCATCTGTCAAAACCAATACAACTATAAAGCACAAAGGTTGAACTTTAAAGTATGCACACAAACAAAGCATAGCCACCAGGATAGTAAGGATCTCAGAAAAGAATATTATAACTGCAGAGAAGTGAGCAGGTAGCAAAGGAGTTGACCTAAAAAAGTTTAGAAAGGATTTTGACTCAAAATTATAAGGCTTAAAAAAAAAAAAAAGAACTGTACATAAACACTATACTCAGTAAATATTCATCTCATAGGGATACAGGCAAATAAATCCGAAACTGCTTTATCTGTATACTAGGTTACACAAGTTAGTAAATGAATGGTAAACAGTAGAAGTCAGGTTTCTCACTACCAGCAAGGAAAGTTAACAGTGGTTATGGATTAGGATCAGCCATCAGTATGAAATAATGTTTCCCTTTACACACATGTACTCACAAATGGATAGGCACAGAAACAATTATAGATATACATGACTTAGTAATATACATATACGACTTAGATCTGTCTACTGAGAAGGCCTAGAAACTGTCACTCTTCAATTCCAACAAACACACCTACCACCCAGATCTTGGTTTCTAAAAAAAAAAGAACAAGGATTCCTTGAGCCCAGAGCATCTTGTAATATCACAAAATAAGGAAGTACTCAAAATACACAAGGGTAGAATATGGCAAATGGACACAGAAACCAACCTCAAAGAGCTCCCAGGGGCCAAAGTTGAATGATGTGAGCAACCAAATAAATAATGTAGCATTGGATTATAATCCAAAGTATGCTATAAATATACATATGTCCATATGAAAGAAAGAAGACAAATCTTTATATGTATTTATTTATTTGATGCTGGGGATTGAACCCAGGTATTGTGCATGCAAGGCAAGCACTCTACTAACTGAGGTATATTCCAGCCCCAAGAAGACAAATCTTTCTTACAGAAGAATTTCAAATATAACATATAGATACTCTCTTCTCCATAAAGCAGAGCTTAATCCCACACCTTGATTATCAGGTGGGGCTGAGTTAATCACACAAGTCCTTAAAAGCCAAGAACCTTGTCCACTATAGTTAAAGGGAGATGTGACTAAGAAAGATGAATTGAGGGATTGTACATTGCTGGCTTTGAAAATAAAGAAAGGGGGCTGTAAACCAAGTAATCTGGGTGGCCTCTAGAAACTAGGAAAAGAAAGAAAATAGATTTTCTAGTACAGCTTCCTAGAAAGGAACATGACTTTGTTAACACCTTGATTTTAGCCCAGTCAGACCTATGTTGCATTTTTTTTTTCCCCTGGTACTGGAGATTGAACCTAGGGGCACTTTACCACTGACTTATATCCCAGCCCTTTTTACTTTGAGACAGGATTTCCCAAAATTGCTGAAACAGAGACTAATAAATTTATATGGTTTTAAGCAACTAAGTTTGGGGCAATTTATTACAACAGCAATAGAAAGCTAATAAAAAGCCAATAAAAACATTTATTACTATACCCTTATATGTGGATACAAACAACTTACTATGCCAAGATGGTACCATTATAGCCGCTCATGCAAGACTCCACAATGCTTTTAGTTACAGTTGAGAATACAGATTCCTACAAATGTAAGTACCAAACATGTTAACATTTCAGAAAAATGAAAACCTTTTCCTAAACTATATTCTACAATATAATGAGAAAAACTGAGTGCTAAGATTTTTTTAAACAAACTTATGACATCATGGTTATATCCTCCATAGAAAAATGTCTGAAACATCTAAGCAATAAAATTTTAACCATAATTAAATCTATTAATCTCCCATATAATTATAGATATAAAGTGCACATCTATCAAGGGCAGGACAGAGTCTGGCCAAATATCAGTACCTGAGAAAGTTAACTCAGTGCCTACTTGACTGTCTTTCCCTTCATTATTTCTATGAAATAGAGTTCGTACTATTTTTAAAAAGTGTTGATGTTAAGTTTATAAATTAAAAAAAAAAAGCTAAATTTCATGTAAAATTTTTCATAGCATATTGCATGCAAATATTAATCTGGTATTAACAAATAACCCTACGACTTATTCAGTTATTTTCTCATAAGTTTATACTAAATAATATCTGATTTTTATTTTGAATTTTGCATATAAGTAGAAGCAGTCTTATCAACAACTCAAGAACCCCTAAATCTATATTGTCCATGAGCCACACTTGACTATTAGTACCTAAAACATTGCTAGTCAAAATTGAGATGAGTTGAAAGTGTAAGACACATGCTAGATTTTTTTTTTCTTTTTGGGGTACCAAAGATTGAACCAGGGGTGCTTAACCATTGAGCTCCATCCCCAGCCCTTTCTAAACTTTTTTTTTTTTTTTTTTGTGGTGCTGAGGATTGTCTAAACTTTTTTATTATAAGACAGGATCTCGTTAAGTTGCTGGCTTCAAATTTGCAACCGTCCTGCCGCAGCCTCCTGAGTCACAGGGATTACATACATGTACTACCACGCCTGGCCACACACTAGATTTTGAAGACTAAGTGTAGGGGAAAAAAAAGGAAAATATCTCAATAATTTACACTGATTACATGTTGAAATGATACTTTTTGGATATATTGAGTTAAATAAGATATATTTCTAAAATCAATTTTACTTGAGTCTTTATACTTTTCTTTTCAATGTGTCTACTAGAAAATTTAAAATTATACATGTGGCTTTTATATTTCTATTGGCTAGCAATGCCATAGATGAAAAGATAAATGATCTAAAGCTCTAAATAGCTCACCAAAAACATATGTATAAGAGAATAATCAAGACCCATGATGTACAGTATAGTAAGAATTAGCTATACGTGGCTACTGAAGTTTAAATTAATTAAAATTAAATAAAACTTAGTTCATCAGACACACTAGCCACATTTCAAATGCTCAAAAACAGTCACATGTACCTAATGTACATAAGGCACCGATTTAAAATTTTATTTAATTTTAATTAAACTTAGTCATGTGGCTATAGATTACTGTGATAAACAGCTCAGATATAAAAGATTTCCATTAATGCGAAAAGTTCTATTGGCTAGTGCTGACTAGATCTTAATAAAATTGGCCTTATTGTCATCATAGTAATTCTAAAATCCTTAAACTAGGTGGCTAATTGTACTCATCAATCATTCAAGCGGCCCCAAAAAGTACTCCTCCATTAACCTCCATCACTGAGTGAAGAAGCAAAGTAAAACAGGCTTGTGTCATCCTATCACAAAATTCAATGAATAAAGAAGAAAGCTATTTAGTAAAATTAGAGTTGAAATATTCATAGAATGTTTGAACTTATCTTAAATCAATCAAACTAAAGAGATCAAAAATGAAACCTTTACAAATAACAAAGACTTGTATATTTCAAGTGAAAAGTTAAGCTTCCAGTTTTCATTACCTGCGTGGTGTCCATGTCTGCAACATAATCAAATGTGAAGACCTTGGGCTCAGGGCTGGAATGCAACCGGAGACTTGTTGTGGAAAGCACAGATAAGCACAAGCCATGCTCTCCATCAACTGACCTAGAGCCCTCGGCAGGTGGACGAATTCGCACAAAAATTTTGATGGCATCACCTTCATTACTAAAGAAAAAGAAAGTAACAGCTAAGTTTATTGGAGAAAAGAAAATTGTAAAGGATCTGAGTTTCATGTTGCCTCTAATATTTCTTATAATAAGTTTCCCCAACAAAGTCCAAGACATACTCCATTTAAATTTACCTCTTATAAGAGTCTCAATGACCCACACTGTTTATTGAGTTAGTTCATGATAAGCACCTTCATAAACCTTTACTGGAAATAAAGGGAGTTCTTTTCAAAGGGATATAAACACTGCTTGTCTCTCATTCCCTCTTACCAGCAAAAATAAAAGTCATTCCAAGGGAGAATTATGTAACCAATCCCTTATTTTAATTTGGGAATTAAGAGGGCAGGGGAAGTATATTATTTTCCCATATTTCCAGCTGATTGAGGACTAAGCTAAATTTTAAAACAAGTACCCCTTATTTTGCTAAATACTTATTCTAGAAATATAAAATTGCTAATTCTTTGGGGGCTCATCAATAAGACTTTTTTCTTACCTTGGCAGGTTAGACTGAGAATTTGTCACATTTCGTAACTCAGCTAAAAAAAAAAAAAAAAAGATAAATCATTAAAGATGATTATAATTAGTTTATGGAAATCCCATTCTCTAACTTGTTCCTCAGTTGCTGACACTCTTCAGTCTCCCCATCCTTCACATCCATGGTGTGATGCTCCTGGGCTGAGGCCTTGATCCTCTTTACCTATTCTATCTCAACCCATTAAGGTGGTAATGCTGTCCAGCCCCATGGTTTTAAAAGCTAGGTATATACTGATGATTCCCAAATTTAAAAGTTCTCTCTAGATTGCTTTCCTAATTGCCTACTTGAAATCTACAACTGGATGTCCAGGGGGTAATGTCTCAAATTTAATGTGTCCAAACCTGCTCCTGATTCCCTTGTGCAACACCAATGTTCTGCTTCATCTCAGTAAATCACAATTCCATCCTTCCCATTGTTCAGGCCAAAAATCATAGTCATCCCTAACCCCATTCTTTCTCACTGGAGCCAATCTGTCAGCAACTCCCTGACTCTAACTTTAAAATATATCTGTAATCTTAAACTTCTTGCCAAATCCACTGCTACCACTGCAGAATCAAGCCAGCAACATCTTTTACTTGGGTTATTACAACAGTCTCCCTGCTTCTCTCACTCCCCTGAGACGGAGACTACCATAGGGATAAAGGACAAATGCAATCCTGGGCCTTAAATCATGGGCTGACAGCCATTAAAAGATAGTACAAGATTTTTCTTTGCTCTCCCACCTTAACTCATTGCTTATAAGGTATGAAAAGCTTGGTATGGGCCTTACCCATTCCCCTCAAACAACTTTATTAGCTTCAGAAACTAGGTGCCTAATTAGGATCTCCTGATGGCTCTTGCCATGACTCTCTGAGGACAAACAACATGAAGAATAAAAACTGTTGAGAAACCATCAAAATTGCAAATTCCCAGGCCCTTAATTTGATGCCTGCCATAATTTGTGTTCTCTTCCATGCCCCACCTTTGGGTTCTCTTAACAGCTACGGAGACTTCCTTATTACAAGACAAATGTTTATATGGAATGTGGCATCAATATTGAAAACTAACATTTGGCTCCAGGATAACTAACTGATCTTCCTCAGAGTTAAAGTGCTCTCACAGGAAAAGAACCAATACATCCAGAACTTGGAGGACTTCAAATAGGAGAAAACCAAAGAGGTGTACAGTTAGACACATTATACTAAATATTCTGAAAGTCAAAACCAAGAAAAAAAATATTGAAAGCAGCAAAAAAACGCCTGTTGTTACAAGTAGCAAGACGAAATCCCATACCATCCCACTCCCTCCAGCCAACACATATTCACATTCCATATGCTACCCTCCTAATTGTCATTTAGTAGCTGCTTCAGTTATCATTAGATCATCTAGTTGTAGGTATCAGTGTTTTTGTTCAAGTAAGCTTTGCAGCCTGTGTCACATTGCATAGCTCATTCATCTCAATTATCTTACAGACAGGCATTGTATCATCTCATTTCAGAAAAGGAAGGATGAATACAGAAAGATTTTTAGAAAGACCACATTCCCATAACTATTATTACAGTGTACTATTCTAACTGTTCTTATTATTTGTTATTGTTAGTATGTTACTGTAACTAATTTACTGGGAGTCTTGGAATGTATCCTTGAGGATAAAGGGCGACTACAATAAAGATATTGCTGCAGTCTGTGCTTTAAATTACTTTATCTGCAAGAGAAAGACGTGTTTGGGACATAGATAAATCCTTCCTTTTGAGAAAGTCAGAAATATGGAAACCTGCAGAAGGTAGTGATCACTGAGTAAGGGCTGATCCTCAGGCAGGGCCACTTAGACAGGCAGCCCGAAGCGGACAAAGAAGAGGGCCGACAAAGAAGCAGCAAGATGGAAAGAAGGAAAAGGAAGAACAGATTCTAGTCTTAGGGCTCCGGTTCTCCACTGTTGTTCCCGAGCAGAAGTGTGCCAGGTCCCCGCACGCGCCAATATGCAGAAGGAACGCTGAGAGTGGTCTCCGATTTTTCCTATCCTTCACCCGGGACAACCCTACGGGAAGCCTCGCGACGTCGTAACTGGGTCACGAAACCGCGGCCCCCGACTTACTTTTGCAGCCTGGCGCCATAGCGCCCTCAGCCCTGGACCTGGAACCTGCTCAGCCGACGATTCCACCTCCCGCCCAGCAGCGGTCCCGCCCGCCTAAGATGGCGAGAATTTGAATTTGGCGCTCCGGCCGGACGCTGACGTCACACGCACACCGACTTGCCCGGTCTCCGTCGGGGCGTGGCCTTGGCGTCATCGGCGAGCGCCGTCACATCTGGGGACTGTCAGAGAGCCCTCGAAAGGGTTTTACCCAGATCCGCCATGAGCAAGCGGAACCAGGTGTCGTACGTGAGGCCCGCCGAACCCGCCTTCCTGTCCCGCTTTAAGGAGCGAGTCGGGTACAGGGAAGGGCCCACCATAGAGAGCAAGGTGAGCGCTGCAGTCGCGTTACCTCGGAAACGCTCCCGGTCCACCATTTCCGGCTCCTGCAGGCCGGTTACTCCTCACCCCAATTTGGTGGACCTCGGACCGTGGGCAGGACTTGTTCAAACCATACATCCTCCTGCGTCTAGGAAGCTCTGTTTTAGAGCGCGGCTGCTTTCTGGAAAATGACCTGACGTAGGTGAAGCTCCTGGTCCTTAGTTAAGAAAGATGGCTTTCTTGTCTCTTCTCGCCTGCATATCGCAGAACCTGAGAGCAGGTTGGATAATAACACCGTCCCCATTTTCCAGCTGAGAGGACAGGCCACTTGGTCAAATGACCTGATATCCTAAGATTTGAGTCTCGAATGTATTTTGATGAACGCCCTGTATCTATTTCTGTTTTGTTGTTAAAATAAATTAAGCATATTCTTAAAAGCAAAGTAAGCAAAACCTTAAATACGATGGGACGGGATGTCAGTAGGAATCAACCACTGAGCCCTCTTGGGCTTCTGCTTTAGCTAGTTCACACCAAACCTGCCCCAACTCTTTCAGTGGTAACAGACCATTATGCTTAGAGGATGCATGGGAAAACAGTTTTATTTAGCATTGTGTCTCTAGTATCTGCACTAAGGTCACTTAGAGAGGACAAAATTGATTTACATGAAGTTACTCAATACATTGAGTATGTGCTAAACCCAGCACTGTGCCAGGCTCTGAAAAGACAGAGAGATGGATTTCTAAAGTGTCATTTTCTTTTTAACACTTCCTGCCCTGCTTCGTATCTGTAGGCACAGCCCATCATCTCTCTGGAGGCCTTCAGAACCCCTAGTTATTCTTTTTCCTATTTGTTACTTTATCCATATCTCCTCTATAATACTCATTTTGTATTTCATCCACTTGTGCCTCTGTGTCTCCTTCACTAAATCAGACTCTCTAAATTCCTACCGGAATCACTCTATTGTCCAAGCACTGTGTCTGCCATTAATGAATGGAGTTAAAATTGGTTGGATGCCTGCTTGTTTCAGGCAAGGTTTCGTGGAGGAGGGGTATTTGGATTAAATCTTGAGCACTGGTAGGTTAGCAATTGGAGACAAGGGAACTGCATGGGTAAAGGTGTGGAGGATGGTGAGTTATGGACTATATGTAGAAGCAATGGAGGGATTGATGGAGATAGGCAACAAGGAACCATAGAGGTAACAATCAGAAAGTGATTGATCCCCATGACCAAAAACAATAGTAATGACAGTAAGTTTTGAGAAAAGGGACATGGATTCAACAATGAACACAGGAGATGTAACTATTGTTTTTGGTCATGGGGATCAGTCACTCTGATTTTTACCTCTGTGATAACAATCTTTTTTTTTTTTTTTTTTTTTAGTTGTAGATGGACACAATATCTTTATTTTATTTATTTATTTTTATGTGGTGCTGAAGATTGAACCAGTGCCTCATGCATGCTAGGCAAGCACTCTACCATTGCCCCTGTGGTAACAATCTTGATTGTAACAATCTTCCCAAACAATTCTTAATGACATTATTTGGCAATACAATCAGCATTTTAGTGATCTGTTAACAAAAAGAACTGACTTTTGTGGGAAATCATAATAATTGAGATAAATCATCTTATTGATCTTCTTGAGAGTTAATTCAGAAGTGGCTTTAAACAGTCACTGTTCCTTACCCTGTTTCTTTAGTTTTCTAGTTAGTCAAATAAAAAGAGAGAATCAGAATTAATGATTCTCAAGTCTAAAGAATATTGGAAATAATTTTACTTTTCCATTTCCTTGCTAAAAATGCTTAATTACCTACTTGATTGTGATCATTTATTAGAAACGTTTAGAGAAAAATAGGCAGCAACTGGTGAATAGTCAATAAACTAACAGATATTATTAAAGAGAATGAGCTTATTGAATAATGGGACTTGGGCACTTAAGACCCAAGTCTTCTTAAAAGATGAATGAACTTCATCTTAAAAGATGAATGAACTTGTAACTAACTTGTCAGGATTTCAGATTGTTCAGCATTAACCCATCTATTGGTTATTCATTAGTAGATCAGCAAGTATTTCTTGAGTCCCTTCTATTTTCTAGGTTGTGTGCCTCTAGGTACAGAGGTGAAACACAGCGCCTCTCTCAAAGGAGCTTGCTTACTGGAGATAGACAAAGCATTGAAAACACAGTGTGGTACTTGCTTTCTATGAGCTATGTACAGTGTACAAAAGAAAAAGAAGTGAGATTCTAGAAGATCTGAGTCCTAAAGGCTGCTTGAATAGCAGTTGGCCAGAGGCAATGGGGATTTTTTCAGAGACAAAGGAGGAGATAAAGGAGCCTTTATGTTTGGAGATCTCCAACTACTGAAACCTGACTGCAGTCTAGAGCCACAAGAGAGTGGTATGGGAGAAAGCTGTAGTCATAGGCTGAGGCCAAGTCATGCAGGGCTTTGTACCCTGTTAGGGACACAGAGCTCAATGAGAAGTGGAATAATGAGCTGTTTGAATAATATGTTGAAGACACTTTTGGTGTGCTATCTTTCAACCCAACAGTTCCACTTCCAAGAATTTGTCTACATATAAGTTTCTAAAAATGAGCAAAGATGTATACAAGGTTTTTCTCATAGTAGGAAAAAGCTCTTAAACAACCAAAATTTTTATTTATAGGGTACTGGGAAAATAAATCATGAAATGGCCATATATATAATTAAATACAAGGCAGTAACTTGATAAAATCAGGTAACTGTAATCTCAAAGTATTGTGTAAAGATATTTTTCAGTAAAAAAAAAAAAAATGAGGGGGCTTTTACCGTGTCTGGCATTTTTTAGAAATCTCAAACAACCGGCAAAATGTTACCATTTAGCATTTGTGTATAATGAGTCCATGTTTTCTTTTGTTATTCCCTGTACTTTATGTTTGAGAAATTTCATAATTTAAATAAAAAAAAGATGTCATAGGGGCTGGGGATGTGGCTCAAGCAGTAGCGCGCTCACCTGGCATGCGTGTGGCCCAGGTTCAATTCTCAGCACCACATACAAACAAAGATGTTGTGTCCACCAAAAACTAAAATAAATAAATAAATAAATATTTTTTAAAAAAAGATGTCATAATATTCACAGTTTGATTATGTGCAAAATGTTTTCTATACCTATATATTTGTATATACTTGGAAACAGCTGAAGCTCTTACATGGGATAAGGAATGAACAGAGGTAGGAGAAGAACACTTCTTACTTGCTGCTTACTTTGATGGCATTTGATTATTTTCTGTCTTACTCTGAGAAAAGACAGAGGTAAAAAGTGTTGATGAGTGGGGCATGGTGGTGCTAATCCCAGCAGCTCCGGAGGCTGAGGCAGGAGGATCACAAGTTCAAAGCCAGACCCAATCTCTAAATAAAATACAAAAAAGGGCTGGGGGTGTAGCTCAGTAGTTGAATGCCCCTGAGTTCAATCCCCAGTACAAAAAAAAAAAAAAAGTGTTGATGAGGAGCAAAGATAATTGATATAGCTTAGCACTGTCCTGAGTAGACCAGGCATGATGGAATTACCCAAAGCAGAGGTCCCCTATCACATAAATGCAAACAGGAATCCTCCTGATTTGGAAATGAATCCCATTGGATAGGCATCCAGGATGACTGGCAGGTAAACCTGTTCCCTAGTGTGGTGTAGTTAGATTCTTTGCAGTTACTTGAAAAATTATTTCCTATCTCATTTAGTTGTTACGTTACCCTTCTCATTTTAATCATTATACTTGTTTACAGAGGCAGTACTTGGCATTACTTCAAGATCAGTAATCTACATGCTGTATTTTGTTTTCTCCTAGAGAATCCAGCCTCAGCTCCCAGATGAAGATGCTGATCACAGTGACCAAGAAGATGAACGGCCCCAAGTGGTGGTTTTAAAAAAGGGAGACTTGACAGCTGAAGAAGTCATGAAAATTAAAGCAGAAATAAAGGCTGCAAAAACAGATATATCTGAAAGTAATTTGGTTTCTCTAATAATTTAAGGAGCCTGGAGTATGAAATTGCCTCATTTTAAATAATAGAGAGGCTTGTTTGAAGGAGCTGGTCCTTGGTTCAAGTCTTGATTTTGGCACTTCACCAGATATGAGATCTTGAGCCAGTTATTTCATCTCTGAGCCTCAAGTTCCTTGTTAATCAAATGGAGACAACAAGTGTATTTAGTGGGTTGTTTTGAGGATTAGGGATGAGTTTAGGTAAAAGCCCCATATTTAAAACAAAACAAAAAAAAGTAGTAAAGTTTACAAACAAGTCAATGAAGTTCTATGTAATAATGAGTGCCTGAAATGTGGTTTCCTAACAACTATTACATTGCTTTGTGGGAAAATACAGTAGTTCCAAACACTTTTCAAAAATACTTAAAAATACAACCTGATTGGACTAGGGATACAGCATTTGCAAGTGAATGCTAATCTTGAGAGGCATATAACTAGAGGCCCATACTGAATTTACTCCAAGGATATCCTTAAATACAGTATGAGAATATTTTTGCCATTTGACTCTTGTTAATGGCAAAATAATGAGAAAAAAATCTTTAACTTTGTTTTTGCTTCAGATGAAGAACCAGCTCCAACTGATGGAAGAATCATGTATCGAAAACCAGTCAAGCGTCCCTCAGATGAAAAATATTCAGGTTTAACAGCAAGCTCAAAAAAGAAGATAACAAGTGAAGACAAAATAAATAAGCAGGACTTAGTTAAAAAGAACTCACAAAAGCAAATAAAAAACACCAGCCTCCTTTCTTTTGACAATGAAGAGGAAAACGAGTAAGTGTAAAGCATTTTGTACTTAGTCTTCTTTGAAAGTACATATGGTATTTTTAAAAAATATTTCTTTTTTTATGTCTTTTAAAATAACATTTTTCCCTGTTACACAAGTTCATCTTAGAAAATACAGAAAAAAATTTAATAAAACAAAATTTATGTCTATCCATCAATAATCCTTTGACAGGAAATGTCAACTTTATAGATATTGACATTTTGTTACTTGCAATATGTGTGTATATATGTATGTAAATTATATTTTATAAACAAAATTGAGATTGTATTATGTGTGTTTTCTGTCCTCCCTTCTTAGTTGACATTACATTGTGAGCATTTTTTCAGGTCATCAAACTTCATAAATCTGACATTAATAGTGACAGAGAATTTCATAATTAAATTAATTCCCCTTATTGTATCTTCTCCATTAGCAGAACACTTTGAGGGAGATGATAATGCAACTAGTTAAAAATACTTCCCTAAGTGGGTGCAGTAGCTCACTCATATCTATAATCCTAGTGACTCTGTGCTGGGGCAGGAGGATTGCAGGATCAAGACAAATATCAGCAACTTAATGAGGCCCTAAGTAATTTAGCAAGGACCTGATAGTAAAGCACCTCTGAGTTCAATCCCTGGTACCAAAAAAAAAAAAAAAAAAAAAAAAACCACACAGTTCCTGCCAAGGGTGGCCCTGTTACTCTGCTCTGGCAAGGTAAAAGTTGCAGGTGGAAGCCTGCTTAATAAAGATGCTGGGTTTTTTATACAAAAGAATGGGCTTGAAAAATATGAGCCTTTGCCCTTATCTCTTCATCCTGCTTGGAGTACAGACATGAGAGCTAGAAGTAGCAGAGCTGTGGTTTTTTTGGCACACAGAAGACAACTACTTTCTGGGGGTATTAAAGTAGAAAAATTGAAGGAGCTTGGATCTTTATGGCATGCACCAGACTTGGATTGCTAGCCTCTGAACTTCTTCATACATAAGAAGAATAACCACTATGCTTATTTAAGCTTCTGACAAGTTTCTCTTAAAGGGTCCTGCAGTCAAATGCCATCCATCCATCCCTACAGGCTGGGGTTGTAACTCAGTGAAAGAGCACATACCTAGCATGGGTGAGGCACTAGGTTCAATTCTCAGTACCACATAGAAATAAATAAAGGTCCACTGACAACTTAAAAAAAAAATTAAAAAAAAAATGACATCCCTAAGTGATACAGTAAATAACTGGTTAAACATGAGTGTATTTCTGAATATTGAATGAATTACTGGTAGCATTTTTTAAACATTTATACTATTTATTAAGAGTTAAAAGTATTTGAATATTTTTAAAGCAGATGTTCAGTAAAAATTGCTTTTTGGTTTGTTTTGTTTTGGTTTTTACCATTTTGTTCATTAATCAACCCTAAGAGGCCACTTGACCTCAGGCAGAGTAACAGTGCATCAGCTTTGCGTTGACACTAGGCTTTTTTTTTTTTTTTTGGTCAACTTCCTATTTTCAAATGGTACTTAATAGGTTAAGTTCAATTGGCATTTTCTTTGATCTACCAATGAGGCTAAACTTCATTTTTTTAAGTTTTTTTTTTAAATACCTTTATTTTTATTTATTTAATTTTATGTGGTTCTAAGGATTGAACCCAGTGCCTCACAAGTGCCAGGCAAGCACTCCCACTGAACTACAACCCCAGCCTAAGGCTAAACTTATGATGTTAACCATTCTTTTCTATTCCTTGAATTAACTTTTTGTTAATTTCCACTAGTTTAGTCATGTTTCTCTTACTAATTTATAAATTGTGTAATTTATGAACCTTTTGTTCTGTCTCAGATAAAGAATCACCTCACAAGGCATAATCCCAGTGACTCGGGAGGCTGAGGCAGAAGGATCACAAGTTCCAGGCCAGCCTCAGCAACTTAAGGAGACCCTATCTCAAAATGAAAAGTAAAAATGGCTGGTGGTATAGCTCAGTGGTAGAGTGCCCTGGGTTCAGTCCCCAGTATCAAAAAGACAATCACCTTTAATCGCTTGTTCTTTGTTTCATTTTTTACATTTTGAACTTTATCCCACCTGGAATTAAAATAGATATACTTTTTTTCTCTCCAGTAATCAATTATTGTAGACCCATGCCTGCTTCTCATTTGAAAGGCCATCTGAATGAGAGGTTTTTCCAAATGTTGGGATAGGGAAAGAAGAGAAGCATTGTAAAGCCTGCAGCTTTCCTCAAGCACCTGCTTAATGCTAATAATTTTTGTCATCAGTAAAAGTCACCCAAAACTGGGGGCTTAAGACCCCATCTTCACCAGCCACATCTGTCTGAAATTAGGAATTTCAGAGCATCCTGTGATGAATTTGGTGCCATATCTGTCTCCTTCATTTTAATATCCAAAGACTACTCCAAAGCAGGGTGTGGGAGAAAGACTACTCACAGTTGACCTGTAGGTGGAAAGGGAGTCCTGATATAGGCTCTTTCTAAATTATTCAACTAGTCCTGAAGCCATTCTGCAATACTCTCTTTAATGTATACTCATTTGTTATGTAAGTCATGGTGTTTTGTTTTGTTTTTGTTTTTGTTTTTCCTCTATTTATATTATTGTTCTATTCTTGAACCATAACTATACTGGTTTATCACCACTGTATCCTCAGAACCCAGAAGAATACCTGGCATATTAGGTACACAATAAATATATTTAGAATGAATGAGAGTGTTGTCTTTAATCTTTTCATAGGTCAGTGGACCCTGGGCCAGCAGCACCAGAGCCACTTAGAAAAAATGCAGATTCTCGGGCCTTGCTACTAAATCAGAAGCTTGGTGTAGTTTACCTAGTTGTACAAGTCTGAAAGGTGGTTTTGATATGAGAACCACTCATAAGACTTTTAGAACTATTATAAGAAATAAAATGAAAAATTTAAGCAAGAACTGTGAAAAACTATTATAAAGGCCTAAATCTTACAAATGCATCATATTAAGGAGAACTTTACTGCAATTGATACATGTAACAATGTAAATGTAATTGCTGTGAGTTTACCTCCTCCCCACTACCCCCCATATCCTCAGACCCTCAGATTCCTGAGGGTGAATGACAGAACTGATTGTAGCAAGGGGAGCTGGCCCTCCCTTCTTGCACAAGTTTCATTCCTTGGATCCTATCTGTAATATTTTTATGGTCAGACAGACCCATAACATATCTTGCCTGATTTCTGGCCCCTTTCCTGGCTCATCTCTAAATTCAGTGTCTCTTCTCACTCAGTGTACCTTACCCAGTCCAGTTTTCTGGGGATGCATCTAGCTGTGCTCTACTCTGTAGGAGTCAAATTGCCCCATATATCGAGAAGCTTCCAATTCCTGTAACATATGAAACTTACTAAAGGGGCTTAGAAGCTGATAAGGCTGTCCTGGGGTTGCTCTTGCCACCCTGGTTTCTTCAAATCCATAGGGCCCTGTGACAGCACAGATGACAGCAGAGACAGCATATATTGGTTCCCAAACAAGTTCACAAGCCCTTTTCTCCTACGAGCTTGCCTTCAAATCCCAAGAGTTCTGTGGGCCATTAAGCCACAACATGCTGGTGTGAGAAGAAAGCTAAACTCAAAGCCAAAATGTAATGCACTCCTATCTATGCCTGGGATGGTGGGTTTGGGATCTATTAGATTCCTCTTCAAAGGACTCTGAAGGTAAAGATGCCACATGGCAGAAAGCGGCACCCTTTCAGTTCTGCCACATCCTGGCATGTAACACCCAGCACATTCCTTCTCTCTTGGCTTCACAGAGGCCCTTTAATGCTTCCTGAGAAGGAAATATTGAAAAAAAAAAAAAGCATTTGCTGGGAGGAGAAACAAAATTTTTTCTGCGCATCCTATTTATTTAAGAAGGTCTGTGAGCTTAGGAGGACTCCAGGAGACAACACAGGCAACTAGGCCACCTAAAACAGGATCTAGGGTAGGAACATTGGCTCAACTGTCACTAAAGCCACATCTTGCTGATCTAGGATGACTGACCATCCAGCTCACCCAAGATTAAGGGGTCTCCTGGGGTATAGAACTTTCAATGATAAAACTGAGTAAGTCCCAGGGAATACCGACACTGATTTCTTTTTTTTCCTTCCTCCCCTCCCCTCCCCTCCCCTTCCTTCCTTTCTTCCTTCCTTCCTTGCCCTTCCTTTCCCTCCCTCCC